CAGCGAAAACTCGTCGTCCATCTGGAACATCAGATCGGTAGTCGACTGCCTGGACTTTAATAGCGGGCTACGAGAGACAGGTAGCGCTCCATCCTGGGCTGAGCCTGGTTTGACTTTTGAAACCGAAGGGAACTGAGCTGCCTTCTCGTTGCTTGTTGCACGAGGCTTTCCCTCAGAGCTGTCGATACGATTTAGGTGCGGTCTCAACCTCATGAAATCGATCTTCCGCCTCCTGTCACCTTCAATGGCTGATGCAAGCTCTGGATATTTCTCGAATATGTAGTCCTCAGAATTGCGCCCTCTCGACACAGGTAAACTGGTCAACTGATTGTCACGACACACAGAATCAAGAGTTTCGAGCAAGGACTCATCAAGATCTGCCAATAGCCTACCAAGATTGTAAGCCTTCCTGCTGGTTGTATCCGTGACGTGTGCGAAGGTAAAGCTTACCTGTTCGCCAGTAGATCCTCGAGATTGAGGCAGATATATTCCAGAGCCGCATCCCTAAACTCTTTCACGGAGCATGGCGTGACCACATTGAGCAAGTGACAGACATTGCGGGTATGCACTATTTATCATATATCAGTACCTCACCCCGAGCGGCGCAATCGATCGTGAAGCTTACCGAATTTTCCAAGCATTTGTTGACAGATCTGAGCCAATCGGTCAATCATCAGCTCATTCGCCACAAATGCAACATCGATTATCAGGTCAATGAACTCGTCAAGATCCTTTGACATGACATCGTCGAAAAGCTCCTCCTCGGTGTCGGCATAAAGGTACCGAAGTACAAATTCGAACACATATTGATCAATATGCTTGAGGTCGACATGAATAATGGCGTCTGCATGAGCACGGCGCGATGATAGCCATCTACCACCTGAGCGACCGAAGAACAATGCACTGAAGAAGGGGCACCTCTGACACAGGACATGGCTATGGGCCTTGACCTCACCCTCTTTCAAGTCGATGATCACGTCTCCACTATCGAAGAAAGCAGGATCACGAATGGCACGCTCCATGTCATGCCGCAGAGCCTTTGTTGGTTCGATCATCAGCCTGGAAGCTCGTTCCAGAGTTGGTAAATTGAGATGAGTTGCGACACGCATCACTTCGCTCCGGACCTGGCGATATTGGGAAGAATTCTCTGATGACTGTCTAGCCTGGTGCCAGACATCCAGAATCTCATCTGTGTACAAGAACAAAGCTAAATTCAGAATGGTGAAGATGTCCAAAGATAGGAATGTAAGTTGCATATGTCCGTCACTATCACGCTCAATAGACAGGATATCAAGTGGAGAAGGGCGGTCTGTATGCCTGAAGCTATGAAGGATCTCGCGGAGGACCGAACTCCGTCCGGCCAAGATGAATTCGTGAACAGGAAGTCGTATGTCCGAAGATGTTGTCTTTATCCAGATAACCCCAGGAAATGCTTGGGCTTGTGAAGATTCGAAGTAGGGCTCGATTTCCGAGGCTTCCAGTATCGCTTTCTTGATAAACAAGGCTGGATTTGAGTCTCGGCTATCACCTCCGACCATATCCACCGAGCTGACTGTGTCTCTAAAAGAGCTGAAAGGAGATAAGGGGAGGTAGTCCACCCATAAGGTCGGCTGAGAGACGATAATCTGCTCCTGAGTTACCTCACAGTCGCGCTGCACGGCTGCAAAGGCCCCATAAGCATTGCTGGAAACTCCTATGACTCGAGACAACCCAGGTATTCTAGCGAATTTATAGTCCTTGGCCGAGTCTTTTGACTTCCTGCGCTTCTCTTTGCTCCAAGCAGACCCGGATACGGTACAAATGATGACCGACCCATCCTGGCCAACATCAAAATCTCTTGCTGCCATGTGAGATCTTTTCACAGACCAGATCCTACTTGGTGCCGACATGGAGTTCCGAGGTTTGAATGGATTTGTAGTCGATGTTGACGTTGAGGGGACCTCTGTCTTGTTGACTTGCACTGTGTATACCTCTCCGAAACTCGAAAGCGCGCAGATGGTATTGCCAGCGGACTTGACTTTGACCACTTGGTTGACAGAGGAGCCATATCTCGTAGCCATGAAACTATCCTTGATAAACCTGGAACTGACATCTAGCGGGAATGATAGTTTCGAGTAACCATACTGGGAAAACACCCACACCTCATGGTTCTGAAGAAGAACCGATGTTGCCTGATCGATCGCAGATACACTCTGTATGGGAGCACTGAACAAGGATGCGCCTACGCGCCGAGGGGTTACCTGCATTTCAAGCGATCGAGCATCGGAGTCGATAAGTCCGAGTTGTCCTTCGTTCTTGCCAAAAGTATAAAGACCAGAATTGCTGAAGACAACGGAGTGGACTGCTGATGCAGCTGCTCCGATGATTAGCTCCTTTTTGAAAGGATTGAAAATTTGTCGAGGTTGTTTTTGCAGGGGCACATCGTCCTGATTGTTGGACCTTGGCAAGCTGTACCCCAATTGGCCGTACTTGTTGCTTCCCCAGCTGAATATTTCTCCATTCTCGGTGATCGCAAGAGTGTGATCCTGGCCTAGGGCCACGGAGACCACCTTCTTGTTGGCAAGGCCTCCGCCCTCGACGCAAACGAAAGTGAAACGTGTGGCTTCGTCCCCAGTGCCCAACCGTCCACCGGGGCCAAAGCCACACAAGAAAAGGTTCGACTCGGGATCTGTGGTGAGGATAGCGGTATGAAGCTTAGACATAACAACATCTTGGATCTTGATATGTTTGTTCTCCACAATCGCAGGCAGATCGTTTGTAATGGTATTGCCTGACTCCTGTTGAGCATCAATCTTGCCAGCCTCCGATCGCTGTGCTTGAAATTCACGAAACAGTCGTTGCAGAAGGTGTCCGGGTCTCTTGAGAGTGATACGCTCTGGAAATTGACGATCGTCCTGATCTCCTACACCAAGATTCAGGTTCTTGTTACTACCGAAGGTGAAGACCTCGTCGCCATTTAGATTAGTGCTTGGCTTCAAGATACCCCTGCTAAAGCGGCTGTCGTAGTCAGGATCATCGTCCTCCGAGGAAATTTCGGAAGTGAGATCGTTAAGCTCAACCTCCGCAAACAACTTTTCTGATGTAAGAGAATCAGAGCTCTGTTTAATGTCTCGCGACGCTATCGTAGCTGCGTACACATCGAACGGGCTGTATCCCTCTCGGTCTTTGATCCGAATCAGACTTCCTACTGGAAGCCCGGAGTTGTTCGCTTTGCTGAAGTCCGTGGCGTCGCGCATGTCCCGGGCCATCAAGGCCTGCGCGATTGTAGCGTTTCCCGCATAGAGGGCTCGATGCAAGGCCGTCCAGCCGCTCTCCGAGTCTTGCGCATAGATGTCCAGGAAAGGAACCTGGAGCAAGGCAACGGCAAATTCTATCGCTGTGGATTTTGTCGATGATGCCACAAGGTGAAGAAGTGTGCGCCCGTATTTGTCCCTCACGTTCAGTTCTTCCCTGGACAGGGTCTTACCAGAACGTAGATTGACCCCGCGCTCAGGTATCGGGGTTCCGGGAGAAGTCCCACTCAGCTTCTTACTTCTGGTTGAGACCCCTAGCGAAGATGTCAGTCCTAACCCAGGGCTTCCAGCCTTCAAGCTGCCTCCATTCCCTGCCGTCCCAGTGGCGGTTGCCAGGAAACGCTGAAAGCTCTCGACATCATCGTAGAGAAAGAATCCCCAAAGCTTGCTACTCATGTGCCCTGAATTTGTGTGTCAGAAACTCTTATCAACGCAGGACCAGAACGTCGCCGTGACCGCGGAGGGTTGGCGGGCGCACTGGCAGAAAGGCTGCGGGTGACAAGAGTATTCTAACGGGACAGAAGGAGAAGTCGACCGCGGTCAACTCTTGACTGAATTGATCTCTAAGCGATTTGATCGACGGTGACGAGTGCGATAGACGAGAAAGTCGAAGAGAGGGCGAGCGGATGCGGATTGTAGGCCTGCCTGGCGGAAGCGAGCGTGTCGCGCGTGGAAGAACTTGTGGTGGCGATGGATAAAGCTAGCAGTACAGTACACGATAAAGTCCAGAACTCAACCGGCAGAGGTGGGGGACCGGAGGGTAAAGGGACGACACGTCAAATCGATTTTGAGACTGGTACGCGACCGTGTTGAGGACACGAGAGGGGGAGTTGCAAGTGGTATAAGACGACGGATGTGAGGGGAGAATCGAAAAGTAGAAGAGAGAGAGTGGGGTGGAATCTGACTGGAGTGCAGGTAATAAGAGTAATAGCAGTAATAATCATGGATCATTGATTGATGGCTTTCGACCCGTGGATAAGACCGTCCGGGCGGTGGCCAATCGGGGATTGCACTCCCCTCCATGCCCCCGGACGAGAGGCCGACGACAAATGTTCTCAACTACTTTCTCCTTCTTCCTCGTCTGCTCTTTTTAATCTTCCAATAGGTTCCGTGCTCACTGGGCAGCTCAGATGATTTACCTCGGGATATATGCTCCCGGCATCGCGGGGTATTTGGCTTGAGAAAGAGCATGTCCACCGCATAGTGATTTCTAGTTGTAGAGTATGGAGTAAGCGCATCTGATCAACAGGGGCAGTGAATCTCATCCCGATCGCTAGTTTCGCATAGCTTCTGGATATGACGCAGCTCAATACATGACAAGGGATCTTGAGCTATTGAGGAAGTTCCGTTCATCTCGCTCCTTATTATTCGGAGAGGTCACCGAGGGTGTGGCCCCGTTCGGCACTGCTTTGCCTTGGTCTGTCGTTTTGAAGATGAGTAACCTTGGGTTCACTCCAGGAATATCAGGGACAGTCTCTCATCCAAGGACAAACGTGTATTGCGGTTGAGTCGTCTGTAGAGGTACGCTGGGAAGTTAAAGGTTGTCTTAAATAGTTACCAAGTCAGTTCAGTTGAGAGCAAGTCAACGCCGCAGACTATAAATGAGGCTGAAGACAAAGGATCACCCGATTGTGGCTGGTGATGGTCAAGCCCCAATTGAGACACATACGCACATACTAGGTAGTCACTTCCTCCGTGCTTCATGCTCTCCATCTCAGGTCATAATCTACCATCTCAAAGAAAAAAACAAAAAAAAAAAAAGCAAAAAAGGAACGTCTATGCTGCTAAAGAGGGGCTGAAGGTCGTGTCCGACTCATAGATCGAGGGTTGCGAAGTGAGCAGAGACACCCAGAATCATCGGATCAAGCTCCCATCCATTAGTTATCAGACAGTAGATTACATTATACACGTTCAAATGGCTGAATTAACTTTAAAGGGGCTTGTTATCTTTTCAGTCAGGAGGTCACGAGTATCTACTTCAATTTTACTTACCTGCTTTATCATACTTCCAACACCTGCAGAGGTATGCTACGTGCGCAATGCAACTGGAATCAGCCCAGCACGAAAAGGTGGATTTGTGTGGTGGAAGCGACCAAATAGTCAAGGATGCTTGACTGGCCATCATAAGCGAGAAAGAAACAGGACAAAGGTACGAACGAAGCACGGAGTCAGCCAGCTTCACATTTCATGCATACAGCTGCACCACCAACTGGCCCCAAACAAACCGGTCCAAGTCGGTGGTCGTATGTCGACCGACCGAGCTCTCGACCTTCGGGCTCGGTCGATGGTACTTAATCCTGGTCGGGGGGTCTGATCCATATATAACTACTAGCCGGGAGTAGAATCATGGGTAGCTATCCACGCTCCAATCCAGGGTCATCAACGAAGAGTCTAGGTTGTCTTAGAGGCCTTAGCCAGCCGCCTTTGCTGCAGAACCCGCAGTTCCGGTGCATCATGCCGGTAGTGCGTTGTACAGTGCGAGTCCTGGGATTGGCTCTGGTTGCTGGGGAGAAGCTCCTGAGAGTTCACCCCTAAGGTATCGCTAAGGTACTGTGCCTTGTAGACCGGGCAACTAGGATCTGCTCTCCACCTAGCCAGCAGGCCGTTGCAGGTGAGGCAGCCAGTCCCAGGAACCCAGGAACTTGGGGAAGTGGTCCATGCTGGCGGGTGCTCCAACAGGGAATGATGGGAGCCCCATTCCTCTGTCCGTGTCGCAGGTAGATGAGCACATTTGGTTGGAAGAGAATTCGCCGCTGACCGGAGGGTTTTTCTTTTGGGGGGGGGGGGGGGTGGTGAGAGACTTGAAAGTTACTGGTAGAAGAACCGAAAGAATACCAGCTGCAAACCACAAAATCACAGGCCGATCGATGTCGCAAGCAGCTCAGAACAGCAAAAGAGCATGTTGTCATGGGCGGTGATTCTCATGCAAGTTGATTGTTCGCCCCAAGCGCACGCCCGCAGTACCCGGCTAGCCCAGCTGGGGACTAGCGCCTGTTTCTTTCCATTGACCCTGTTCATTTTCAAGATGAATGCATAACCCAGTATGTGTCGATTCTACAAGTACTCACATACTGTACTCTGAAGATGAACGTAATTACCGTACAACAAGCGAGTTGAAGAAGGTATGAGAGTGACAGCCACCTGACGGCTGACGGAGCAGATAAATGATCACCATGCCGATTGTGGTCAGGAATCTATACTTGCCTTGTAGTCTACCAAGCCATGAAGTCATGAGGATTTCCTTATCAGTGCCGATTACCGTCCATGACGGCTCCACGGAGCTGATCGATCAAAGACAGGCTGAAACAACCCTTCCCTGTCTGATACGCGTACGGCGGTCATGAGGTACAGTACTAGACTAGGTACTCTTGACCGCCTTCCAATCTACTGCGACCTATTTAGGTGCAGTGTGCTGGTGCAAGAGGTGTGCCATGTGGAAGCAACATTGGAGCAAAAGAAAATAGAAAACAGAATTTGAGAGTAGGAGAACCTAGCACCTAGTAGTTATTTATCTGCCTTGCTGACTTCTTTCTCTAGAGCCTCTTTGAAAGGGCTGTGGTGGCACCCGTCATCAGCCTGACTGACTGACCGCTTGCACTTGGACTTGGAGTTGGACTGGCACTTGCACTTGACCCTCGAGTCACCGGGTGTGCGTCACATACCACTTGGTTTCCGTACGGTACGACCGACAGTTCGCCGCCCTCTCATCATCCATTGCTCCTCCGCAGCCAGCCCAGGTTCCGTCTGGCTCCCTCCCTCCCTCTCTACTTCGAGGTTAACTTATCTTCCTTCTGCCATTGACACTGCACTGCATTACCGCCATCCTTTCTCATCTTTTCTCCCTTTCTCAACTTTCTTGCTCAACCCCTATCCCCCTGGCTGCATTTTTGAACCAGACCCTCTCTACCTTGTGAAGCAGAATGGATTCTTGAATGCTTTATTTTCCTCAACGTGAGGACGCCGTGCACATCCCCCTCTCCCTTTCTCCGCCCAAGTCGGTCGTTAATGCGGAGAAGCCTCCCAAGGTTGTCTAGGCCCCATGCTCCGAATGCTCTTCAGCATCTTGTTGCCTGAGCACAGCAAACCATGAACCCGATCCTCTCTCTCACATCTTCTATTCTGTGCCTGTTACCAAGCGCCTGACGCCGCCCCCCCCCCCCCCCCCCACCACCGTTTCATTGTTGTTTGTTATCTTATACAACTTCTTTTTGGCAGCTTGGTCCGTTAGCATGGCTATCCGCAGCGCAACTGGTACCTTTCTATTTCCTTGATCCAACCAGGTTTGCTCCACGGTCCTTTTGGATTCTGTGTCTATATTCAACCGCTTGCCCTTTATATGACTCTCAACTCTACTACAAAACATCATGCACCAACATCCTCGTTCACCGGCCCCTCCGCCACCCGCATCTGCAACCAGGTCGAGCCGCTCGGCGGACAACCGAGAGCAGGATACTCGTCCAACCTCCCCGGCCTTCGATCCTAGAACATCAACCAGAGGATTAGGGATAGAGACGGGTCCTGAGTCGCCAGAGCAGAGCCAAGCTCGACGGCCGTCAAAAGAAGCGATAGCTAAACTCAACCAAATCATATCAGTAGGGCTTCCTTTACGTGCTTGAACTGGTCTCGTGCCTTTCTTCCCTGATGCTTTGCTGATACAATTATTACTCTAGAACTACCATACCAAAGCCGCTCTGATAATTCTTCATTCCCGCATTGAGCTCCCACCATCCTTCAACAAAGGCTCCGATACTCCTAGGGTTAACCGCTGGGTACGTGGCTCTCATACCGCCCCGTCCGTCTTCAACTTTCGAGACCGCCCAGAATTGACCTGGCATACTGATCACAACTAACGCACTGTAGTTCAACGTTGAGCTAGAAGATACCGACGTGCTCCGAGAACAATTACGAACCTGGAGAACATGTGATGCGAGTGAGAACCGGCCTCCGCCGCTGATTATCGAGACATACCTAGACACTAAAGGACTCACCAATAACCAAAGCCTCGTTGCCTTGGATGAGCATGGGAAACGATTTGATGTTTTGGAGTCTCTGTCCTCGTCCCCAGGAAGGCGATCTGCCGCGCCCCTCTCAGCAGGGTCTGACGATGTGATTCTCGAGCGGTGGAAGGTGGAACTCGGAGACATGTCTGATAAACTACCGACGGATCTTGGTTCTATTCTGCCTACGGTCTACAAGAAGAGCATCGTCCTGTTCAGGTCCTTGTTCACATATTCTAAATTCTTGCCTGCCTGGAAGTTTGCCAAACGCAACGGCAGACTTCGAGCACACCCGGCCTTGCGGATTAAATACCGTATTTCGGCGGGGAATCCCGATGCAGGGAGCTCGAAGCCCGACCGTTTGACGATGCCACTGTTTGAAAGCAGCGGTAAAATTGTGGAAACGTACACCTTTGGGGTGACCGATTCACCTGCTGGTCCATTCTCGGTCGAGGTCACATATCGAACGAGCTGTGAGTTCCGTGTAGATGATTCTGAAGCCCTTCTTAGTTCGCGTTTCATGGGTGCCGATGATGAGGGCTTCCGTCCCTCACTTCCAAGTCGAGATTCGCATATGAAAGTCGTCAATCCGGAAGTAGGGTCAGTACCCCTTGAGAAACGGACTGTTGAAGATTCAGACCTTGGGCGTGCTTACGGCAGCCTCTCAACCTTCCATAGTGTCGGGCCTACTACGAGCGCGAGTCCTATATCAGCCCTACGTGCTGCACAGCAGTCCGGCGCCTCGTCTCCCTCACCACCCGCATCATCGTCTCGGAAGCCTCTCTCAATGAACAAAGCAAGTCCTATAGGCCGTGCGGCTGTTCTCGCCAATGAAGGTAGCCCAGGCGTGGTTAGGCGACCTTCCATCTCTTTCCAGCCTTTCAAAGCTCCGCCATTGTCTGCCTCTCCCTCCCTTGTCGATCCTCCGCTTGGGGCTTCTCCGCGGTCGACAGCGGCACCTCGTATACCCATTTCTGAAGCCAAACCTGTGCCTCCCCCGTCTACGACAAGTTCTCTTCGAAAGTCATTGCCCGGCACCTCCGAGCAGACTATTGCTCCTTCGAGCTCTGCATCGCCTAGACCTGCTTCTATCGCAAGATATAGTAGCGCTTTCTCGCACCGTCGTGCAAGGCCTTCTTCCGGTAATATCACCAGGCCTGAAGAAGATACCTCAAGCGGGAGAGCTAGTGCTACCTCATCAAGCGCTCAGCCTGGCTCTGGTTTACTTGCAGAAGCAACTGGGACAAGTGCCGACTCACTCCACGCTGACGATGAGAATATTTCGGATTTCCTAAAGTCGCTGGATATGCATAAAGACTTGCTGAGCAACTCGAAGTCGACTGCTCGTGACGATCAAGGACGTCGAACAACGGCCCCATCTGCTGCCTTGAGCCGCTTTCAGCGCATGAAGGATTCCAATGCTGCCCTGTCGGATTCCATTACCTCCTCATTGATGCTTCATCGCTCGTCCATCTCGTCAAGCAGGCAGTTGTCTAGTGTTCCGCCAATGGTGGCTGGCACTTCAATTTCTACGGCTTCCTCGCCGGGAAAGCCTATCTCCCCTCACACCCCCCACACCCCGGCTATACCCTCGCGCTTGAGCTCCAACAGTATTGTTGACTATAATGATCCTGGGAACAACGATCGACGAGAGTCACATGTCGATCACAGCTCGCCTCTCGATGAGAACGTCAGTGAAGGAACGACCATGGTTAACCCGTCGAATGTAAATGCAATCGATATTCCTACGTCACCCACGTCACTCTTTCCTCCCACGTATCGTCGGCCAAGCTCTGCTGCTCATCGTCGACGGACAATTACGACAGATGACGAGGAAATCTTTCCCTTCAACCTTCGCAGCATAAGTTTGGGAGCCGAGGACAGATCCAACAGCAGCCTCAGTGCCATGCAACGTCAGCATGATTATGAAAGCGATAAGGCCAGTTCGAATCAGACGCATAGAGTGCAGCAGGCCCCGCCCGGCACTGGGGATCCGTCTTTGACACTGAGCACTGCAACACGCACCATGAGTACCCATCGAGGTGCAGCCGCGTCGGGGCCGTCAGCAGTCACGTCAGGTCACCATGTGTATCAGCCGCGTTTTAGCCTTTCCCGTGGACGAGGCCTTTCCGGCCCTCAGTCTCTCAGCTCCGGGTCAGGTAGCCTTGCACGTGGCTCAACGATTCCTTCGTATCTCACCGAGCGCGATCAGGATCGTGACGGTAACGCCAGTGGGAGCAACAGCGGTACCTCAATGATTGAGGGCCGACGACCCAGTACCGGCCGCAACAATCCTCCGCAATCGCAAGTTGAGGAGGACGAACCGTTGCTGTTTGCGATGAGTGATTTCGGGGCCTCTCGCCGAAGCTTTGAGGAAAGTAGGCAAGGCAACCATAGCGCTGACCCCACCGGTAACTCCGGCGGATCGAGACGCGGCGGCGGTAGGCGAGGCGGCGGTCTTTCTGGCTTCCCAGTCTGGCCATGAAAGGACTACAATCCACCTCTCACACCCACACTTCAACTTCGATTATCTTCCCAGATGCTTTCGGCGTCTTGGGTGTTTGATTTTGACCGCTTTCCTACAACGATTTCACATACCAACTTCAATTTCCTTCATTTCATTCACACATTGTTCACATCTTCGGTATTGTTTTGATGCTCATGTTCTTCCATTTTTATCTCAGGGCGGCTGGTTAATTTATAGACTGGATCTCCAAGCACTTCCGCAATGTGCGTCTGGATTGGCGAATAAGGTTGACTTGATGTCCCGAATTTCTTGTTTCTTGGGTTTTAAAGCATGTTTGTTATACTACCGTTCTACTTCCCCCTTTGCATTCTGGCGTGGAAACAGCGTCCTTATCTTCTTCCTCTCATCTGCTTTTTTGGATTCTTCCTCTTCCTCTTGTATCGAATTTCCGAGCGTCATACAGTCAATATCCTTATGGGCATTGATCTGTCCTTTCTGATCCGACTCCGTTATTTTATCTCTATCTATCTACATTGCTACAATTCTTACTTCTCCTCAATTTGCCACGTTCGTGCAGATCCTCCATCTTGCGTGACTGGGATGAATTCCTTTTCCGACACCATGAAACCGAGGCTTAGAAAGGCGGACTGTGATAAGCTTGTGCCATGGTACTAGTCGAAATACGAGCCTTTGGACATATTACATCGATTTCTGAGAGCCGTCCTAAAGTTTGCGGCCAAGTGAATTTCGAAAATATGCATTAACCTAACCGCCGGGGTATGAGTCTATGAAAGGAAAGAAAAAAAAAAAAAGAACTTTTTCCAAGGTAGAGAGAAGAGGCAACAATGCGCCACCAATTCCTTTGCTGTGCCAATGTTCAACTTTCTAGGTATGGTACATGTATCTGATTGAATCGGGTTGACTCAAACGATGGAGATAATGATGTAGTGACTCATTTCCACCATCCGAACAGTCTGGCCTGGGCTCTAGCCTAGGCTGAGATGCCCGGGTTGTTGTGAAACGCCAAAACAGGTTAGCCCGCTCGTTCAGCTGAACAAAGTGGTTTCACCTGAGCTGGGGCTAAGTCTTGTGACATAGTAGGAGGGGAAAACTTTAGGGATAAGGTCGATGGTAGAAGTGTGGGCGGGGCTTGAGAAGATCATGGATGATGGTAAGTTAAGAGAAGAGGAGCGGAAATCCTCATGTAGGACGGGGGGTGGGGGGTATAAGGGTGGTAGTATAGTTGACATGATCGGAGTTAATGTGGCGGATCTTATCATGTGGCGCCATGCGCCAGGACCCCCTCGTGCGTAAGTATTGTGAATTGCAGCTGGACGAGGGAGGGGAGGGGTCCAGTCAGTCAGCTTATCCCGCACGATGACGACAAGGCTGTTTGTGGGAAGCAGCTGGGGCTAGAAGCTGCGGGCATGGTTTGACTCGGTATGTAGCACGACCGACCAGCACCACCACCACGACTACCAGCGGGAGCAGGAGCGGGAGCAGCAGTGGGTGATCGCCCAATCTGGCCAGGCCCATGGGGCTCGATGGGTTGGAAGAGATATGATTACATCTTGCGGAAGGTGTTACCGGACGCGCTGCGACGCTCCTTGGCCCGGAAATTGTGGGAGGATGTGGATTGTTGCTCGGGTCGATTAAAGCTCCTCTTTCCTTGCTGCCTGCCAGCGCCAGGAGTGAAGGTGACTTCACGCTCGCCGACCACCCCGCCCCGGCGAGAGGGCTTATCCCTGGTGCGCATGTTCTGCGCGCGCGAGCCGAAGGAACGGTCACGGGTCGAGCTGACGTTGGTGGAAGAGGAGATCTCCATGCGGGGCGCTTCCTGGTTGCGGCCCTGCTTGTTGCGGCGGTAGGAGGCGGTGGAGATCTTGTTGGAAGCGGCGGGCTTGGACTTGTATTGTCCGCCATCACTTTCCGAGTCAGAGCTGTCCGAGCTGCCCCGGACGTCGTCGACCATCTCCTGTTCCACGGCGGTGAGGCCTCTTTCCTTGCGGGGAGGAGCCTCGACCGCGGTGCTGGGGTTGAGAAGTTGGAATTCACGCGATGTCTCATCGATGGCGAAGTCCTCGTCCTCGAAGAGCTTAGCGAAACGGGAGTCGCCCAGAGGGTTCTTGTCGGCTTCTTCGGTGGTGTTGGTCGCGGCCGCGGCGGCAGGAGGAGCGTCAACCATCTCATCGTCGCCGCCCCTCTTGAGGACACGCTGCGCCCTCTTGCGCTCATTCTTCTCCTCGATGCTGAGCAGCTTCTCGGCAAGTCTCTGGTTGACCTTGACGGCGGCCTTCTTCTTGCCACGGATGCGGCTCTCGCGTTCCTTCTCAATCTTCTCCCTAACACGCTTGGCACGCTCTTCTTCCCACATATAGGGGTTGGTGATGAGCCTGGCCTCTTCGTACAGCTGTTGAGCCACAAAGTAACCGTGCATGTAAGGCCGCAGCAGGCTGGTTCGGCCAATGAGGTGATCCAGGTTGAGGGTCTTGAGTTGAGGCACGGTCAAGAACTTGTAGTTGTCGTAAACAGAGCCCGCCTGGCTCGGGTTGAATGCGTTGGGGTCGTTGGGATCTTCCGCCATTTCTTCAACAAGGTTATCGAGGAATGAACACCAGCGCGGCGATGGTCCAAGCTGAGGAATCAAGAACGAATGCTGCAAGGGTCCTTCGTTGGCCGTGAGAAGCATTCCACTATCCTTGCACCAAGCCACTGAGTTGATGTCCACAGCAGGCTCAACAGATGTCCATGGGCTTCCATCACGGGGATCCCAAATCTTTATGATCTTTTTGTCCGCTGAGAGGATCTTGGGTTCCAGGGTCTGTTCGCGGGAGGCGGTGGAAGGCTGGAGGAATTTCAATGTGTGAATGGGGAAGCCATATCCCTGGTCCTTCTTCAACATGGGTCGAGACATGCGCAGATCGTATAGGAAGATGAGTCCGTTCGAGGAACCCGTACCGAGCGTTAGACCAGATCTGTGGAATTCCAGCGCTGTGATCTCTTGTCGAGACTCATCAGGACCGTGCGCGGGCGATACCAGAGTGCCGATTCTGCTTCTCGCCCTAGGATCGAAGAATTCGACGGTCCCGTTCGAGGTACCGAAGGCAAGAAGGTTGTGACTTTCCTCGGCGATTGCTCCTGTATTGACAGAGCCCGTGTTGATTCCACCCTGCAATGTACCTCCACCAGCAGACGTAAAGTCATCGCCGCCCACATCAACTTCGAAGCTCCGCATGTATCGTCCCATTTCCAGGTTCAGTCGGAAAACTTCTCCCATGCCGTCGCTGTTGACACCAACCGCTGGCACCAAAGCTTCCGTTGTCTGTCTATCGTATACCAAGTCCCGTCCGTATCTGGGAAGCCTCGTCTTGTGGTGCATGCCCGAGGGGGTGTGGAATTCGAGCGAGCGGTCGGACTGGAGGTGGAGAGACTTGGAGTAGTCCGATGAGAGTAGAAGGAAGGTAGTATTTTCAACATCAGTGTGGCGCGCGTCTGCCGGTGAATCAGCAAAGAGAAGACTTCAAAGTAGAATTCTCATCAAAGACTTACAACTCAGGGACAGAGCTTGTAACGAGTGAACGTGCATCTGCGGCTTGTACGTTCCTGCGGGGATGCGGATTAGTTGACTGTTCGGATTAGTCGATGCCTGCGCAAGCGCATACCTGTGCTCATAACCCAATCTCCATCTTCACTGACCCGAATGCATCGACTGGCTTCCTCGAACCCGAAGTCCTGGTGAAAGGATTAGAAACTGATAAGAGCCGGACATGGATGGTAATCGGGTCCTGACCTGCAATAATTCCACTCTGTTCGCCCACTCCGGATCATTTTTCAAACTCCTCTTTCTCCGCCTAGCAAGCCATTCAGGGAGCTAGAATCATATACCGTCAGCATCAGTCTTGCTGTGTTTGCTGGAATGCTATCGAGTTCTTACCTCGCGGGCAGTATTGGAGCCCGAGATCGCTGTAGGACCGTTAGTTGTCTCATTCAGAAATTTAAGATCTGTGAAGCTCACTGTAGACCGGGACCTCCGACTGATTGGAGAGCTTCATGGCGAGGTGAGAGCGTTAGAAATCGCAGCGCAGCGCCAGTCAGAGTCGATAAGGGACTTATTTTTTTTTTCGGGCAAAAAAAGTTGCCGCGATCCAGAATATTACGGTATCGATAGCTGATGGAGGTGAGCACGTGATGCTGCGGAAGGCAAGGTTACATGATTGGCTGGGGCGGGCCGAACCAAGCTCCGTGGGTGGATGGAAACTGAATTGGTGCAAGACTGAAAGGGCCAAAGGGCCCCATCGGAACATCTGGGGGAAATCAGCGGCCATTTCGCCTCTTCGGGAATGCTGATATCGTATCCATCAATCCATTCCCCAATCTCCTTCTCTCCTTAGCTCTTGTATCCCTTCTGCTGCTGCTTTATGGCACATGGTATTCTTTGACATTACCTCAGTTTACTATATATACATACGCCTTCACCCCCTTACTCCGGTATTACCTTGATCGCGAACCCCTAAACTCCCAAAGAGCGATGGCTTCAGGAAGCTGATCTGTTTACTGACTGCCAAAAGTTCCATGTTATCGCACTGAGATATGACCATTTGGGAATGCGCTCCTGGAGATGAATTCTATTTCGCTGGTGGAAGCGTTCCTGGCTAGCTAAAAAAAATCGCCAGTATTTCCAAGGGGCTTTTAATTAAACCATGGACTTTCCAGGCGGGTCCGTCACCAACATACGCGTCATTGTAAGTCAACTGCCCGCAAGCACCTTTAGCATCCATTTAACCTGATCCTCAGGATGGATTCTCGCAAATATATTGGAGAATCTATACCGAGGAGCCTGGTATAACCAATATACCTGGCGAATCTCCTGCAAATGGCTATACCATTTTGAAACATCTCAGCCGCCTCAAAGATCTTGAGCTTAGGTTGAGGAATCTGGATTGCTTGGTTTCAAGCTATCCTCGAAGACTCTGTCTCTGGACTTTCTCCTCTACTCCCGGATTTGAGGCTCTGGCCTCTGTGGCAGCAAGTCGGGGTAAAGATGACACGGGTAGGCTTCTCGTCGGTTCTACTACGTTGAAAGGTATGTGATATGTTGGGGCGCAAAGAATCTCTCGCTGCAGTGAGTGCTGACCCTTGCCCTCACAGTGTCCTCTTCTGGCAGTGTTTCCTCGTCAGATTTGGTCAAGAATCTTTCAGTAGAGCCTCAACATGCGACGGGTGCAGCCGGGCCGCAAAGACCCAGTGCGCCTACACCGTTTGTCACCATCTACGCTTCGTTCATTTCAGCTCTGATGGGAACTTTAAGTCTTCAATTGATACAGCAAGTTGGTGCAGTTCCGCTAGGGTCACGGACCCTGCTCACGCTAGACGAACGAGGTCTCCACGAGACCGTCGGCCACAGTGCTGAGAGCTCCACTTTTGCTCCATCGCTGACTACGCTCCAAGTTCAACTGATATCTGCTGGAAAACTAACTGTGGCTTTGCAAACCGTACCACAACCTGGCCTGTTGAGATTATGCAAGTCTGAAGATTCTCCAGAAAGCCATGACACTCCTCCCGGCACAGATCTCTGGCTTTCTCCAAGCGGGTCGATCGCCAGACTAGTGACGACAAGACCAGCTCAGAGGGTGGGTTCTTCTCCGTACCCTTACAGCACCGGGGGTGTGGGGTCTGATAGATCGGACCCAGTGAACCGCAAACAGTGGATGGCCAATGTGCTGGGCTGGCTTGCCAATTTTGGTCTTCCAGTAGATGGCATCGGTGAAGATTCATGGGTGGAAGTTGAAGTTTGGGAACCGTTCTACTCTAGGTTGGCCGGGGAAACATGGCGGCCGAACGATGGAGGCTTATCAACGCTTCCTCTCAAGCGAATTCTTTGGCCAGCTATATACTGCTTCAGAAGGACAAAATCAGCATCTTCAGACTCCTATGGTGAAATGGAAAGCGTCTGTGCTGTCATTGATAACCCTCTAGAATTTGCAGAAAAGTGGCACGTATTAGAGAAGCCCAACCTTAACGAAACGAGCCCTAAGCCTCTATCTATCGCCCAGGAATCAGAGACCAAGGACCAAGATGCACCTACTCCCGATACGGCTGGTTTACCTGAAGGACTGGAAAGCCTTTCTCGGGCTTCACAGTATCCAGACCTACAGACTGCAGGCCTTGTATATCCCACGCCACCAGATGGGGCCACGACGGCAGGGCTCAATCCTACCACAGTCTCAGATGCGTTCTCTGAAGACTTATACAACAGTTCAGCCTTTCCCCAGCAGACCAGGCAGATTTCTTTCGGCCAGCCACACAGCAAGGATCGCTCTGCAGTGGATGTGACAATGGGGTTCGGCCCTTCGGCAGGTCTTGCTGTTGGATCCGGACTGTACGATACCAACGATGATGATGATCTGTTCGGTGATATGAATGAGAGGGATTTTGGAGCTAAAGGGATCACGGATGCAGACTTCAGCTTCTTCGATGAACCGGGGTTTGACCGTATGGACGAAGGAGATCACCCAGATCCCATGCATGAAATGCCGGATTTTAGTGAGACAGATCAGCTTGAAGCACAACCTACACCGGCTGAGCACACCTTTCCCGGCTTGGTGCAAGAAGCTGTCGGAGATCAGATGTTTGAGCCTGAAGCTGACAAAATGGACGTTACTACGGATGCTCAGAGCGAACAACCTCCGCATGAAAAGGATGTCCCTCTGCCATCGCCCCAGGAAGACAATGTCGCCACTATAAGCCCTCCACTGAGTCCGGTTGAGGTCAAGAAATTTCTTTTCCCTGAGCCACAAGCCGAGAGTCACCCGTCGCCCCAGCAAGGGCAGATGCCGGGGTATTATAAACCCATTCATTTCAAGCAGGGGATCTCCAGCTGGGATCAGAAATACAGTACTGAAGGCAAGTTCTGGTTTAAGATGCGTGGGAAAGACACAATTGAGAACGCCACCACTACGAGCAGTGATATTCCAACCATCGGCCTTCCTCGCCACGCTACAATATCGAAAAAAAGCGCGGGTATAAAACCATTTGATGAGCATGGCAGTCCGCTGGACGACATATTCCAGGAAGCAACATCAGACTCCGAGTTAAGCGATGCTGCGAGCATTGACGGCGCTGAGAGTGAAGCTGAAAGCGATCTTTCACCGGCTACATACCCTACGCGCAAAAGAAAACGCAGTCTTTCCAATTCCGGTACCTCATTGGCTTTGTCCCCAGAGAAGACTTCGATAAACGCAGAGCAAGACACAGCGACTCAACGTCCCGAGGACTCCGTCTTCTTGGGAAACTTCCTATCAACCTTCTCCGATTGGTCCTTGACCGGCTACTTCTCGCTCTCTCAAAACCAAACATTTCCCGCCCTTCTTCAAAAAGAATTGCAAGTTCAGATTGCCCAAATCCTGGTCGATCAAATCACACAATCTTCTCTGGATCACAAGTATGATGGGACTGTTGGTCTGTCAGGCTGTGGAAACGAGGCGCATTCTCCGCAAAGCGTTGATGACGAATCATTCATGGGCGGGATAGAAAGGCTCGATTTGAATAGCTTCGTCTCTCTGCAGGATCCCGTAGCACTTTCGCCTAGCACTCAGGCCCGACAATCTTCGCAGCGGAAAGACACAAGCAAGGGCACCATTTCTCGCCTCGGCCCACCACATCTACGTGTCTGCCGCGGCAAAGACTTTCTGGAAACACTACCACCAGCAATCCCATTCTGGGAAACGTTTGGGTTGGGACCGGCCCATGGCCAGAAGGATATACTTGCCTATTGCATCCATCCCCATACCGCTACAGAAGCTGCGGATACCTTTTTAGACCGTCTGGGCTTGGTATATTCTGGCTGCAATCTTGGTAGTCATGATCGAGGGAATAGCTCAAACCTGTTTAATCGTGGTATGGGCTCATGGGACATCGATTTGTCACACACTCGCTATTCATCTATCATGCAATCCTTGAAGACGATCTGTGAGGGCTTAGGTATGTCAGCTCTCCCTGATTTTGAGGCCCAGCGCTAACCAGGTGTAGGGACGGCTTTGCTACAGAGTCCACCTGACAAGGAGAACAACCTTGTTGTTTATATCGTCAACCCCTTTGCTCATGCTGCGGCCTTGGTCGATATTTGTTCGGCCTTCTGGATTCTGTTCCAAAGATATGTGGCCGATGCTGACAGGCAGCAGGCCCGCCAACTCAATGAGCTTGTGTTGCAGATCGTTCCCCTCGACTTTCTAATGTCGAATGAATCTTTAGTCGTACCTCCTCAGGCAGAGTACTTGAACTTGGCTCTCGAGGTCTATAGCCGGTGCCCACCGAAGTCACCTCACTCTAGCTTGGTCAACGGCGCTCCTCCAATGCTTCTTGCAGAACCACTTCCAAAGATCATCAACTTCAAACTCTCATCTGAGAAGATATCTCCACTGCAAGAAGGCAGGTGTCTCCACATCGCGTGCTCCAGAAGTCAAGATCAAAGGTGGATGAGTGTGGCCTGGTCAGATAACACCGGCGCTCTGCAGCGAACCATGTCCTATTGCCTCCGCTTCCGCAACTCGTCCGTGGTGAGAAGCATTGCGGAAGTTCGCGCTGAAATCTGGGGAGCAACGAAGGACATTATGGACAGGACTCAGGCGCGCTGGCGGGTCATTGTCGCCAACACAGATCCTGTGGATCAGGAAGAGGTTGACAGTAAGTGTGTCACTGCAGGAGTTTTGAATGTTTGCTGACGACCTCAGCCTGGACAGCCCTCACGGAACAGTATAACAAGTCTAGATCAGCGAACCTAGAATTGACGATTTTGAGCGTCGGTGCCACGCCCGATCTCACACTTGAGCCACCCTTCTTGCCTTTGCCCATGAGCGCAGTCAATCCTCTTGCGTCAACCACCCCCATTGCTACGCCGAATCCTAGCATTTCCTCACCCGACCAAATCAGCACTGCGCCCACCCCTCCAAGCGCAGCAAATGTACCTCCAAACGCCCCTACCCCGACAGATACCAATCCTGAGATAGAGTCCGAATCCCTCCTCATGGACATATGCGATGAGACGTGGGGCGTTGTTCTGTCCCATCGTCTTAACAGCTCTATGCATCAAACCGAGTATCGACCCGCGCTGGCCAGCGGATACCTGCTTCGCAGGAGAGGCTCTACCGACGGAGACGGGGTGTATACCATGGGTGCCAACATCATCTATTCAAGGCGTTCTTCAGCTTCGTATGACGCCGTTCTTCGGGAGATCCTGAGCATGTACCGTGATCTCGCGACTCTGGCTCGAGCCCGGGGCACTCGGGCAGTGCAGCAGGGTACACTACCTTGGCACATTGCTACTGTGGTCAAGGCTCAGGCGCTTCTGAGCTATGTTCTCTGATAATTCTTTTTGTGTTATATTAGTTCATTATACCATGTCGCGGCTGGTGTGAAGATACGGCGTATGGTGTTATTTACCTTACTAGAATATGATCCTAGGCGATCTGTATATAATGATGGTGTCTTGCTTCCCTTCATCAAGCAATATGTGGGAACGGTACATTTAACGTAAGCGGTCTGGGTTCGCGTTCGAATGACTTCGACTGTTGTTGACTGACTGTCGAAAACATCATTCCATGTACCTTGGCTAACGAGTTCAGGTAGCTTTGACCATGCATGCGCTCTTCGACACATCGAAGCTCTCTGCACATAGAGACTATGCTTGTATGTCGATTTTTGTTGAGCACGGAATCTAATCCTGGCCCCTATGTTGCAGATGCGCATGATGGTTTGCGAAGAACTCCGGCTATAACCCTGTCCACAAAGCACAACGGCCGAGTGGGTAATCCCCATCAATTCAGCTTTGAAGCCAGCTCTCAACCACCGGACTAACCCGTACTGCAACTCCAGGATACAATATCCTTCAAAGCCAAGGATGATAATGTCCCCTTAAGCCAACCTGGGATCTCCTTTCATCCCAAGCACTTGGGACAACTCTTTTCTTTGTGGTTTGATGGAGACTGTCGACTAGATACGGACGATACTGGAGCTCTTCAACAACTCTTTGACATCGTAACGAGCAGCAGGGTTCGAAGTCCCAGAATCATGCTTTGGCTTCATCATAAAAGGGTCCATTCCATGTCTCCTGATCATTCAGCTTTTCATTCCAGCACGACTTTCGGTTTTTCCTCACACAAGAACAGAATTGCGTCTCTTCCACACAGGAGCAGAATTTCGTCTTCTTCACAAGTCAGAACAACCACAAACACCATGTCTACTAACGCTAACCACGTCCGGTCCAAGTCTTTGCAGCAGGGAAAGGGAAAGAGCAAGGGCAAGAGACAGGCTCCCTCGACCCCCCATGCTCAAGCCCCGATCCCCGATCCCGCCTTGTGGGACGGTTACTACAAGGTTATCACCCACGGGGAAGTGACACAGGGCGGAGCCCACCGCGGCTCATGCAAAGTGCAATGCCGCTACTGCTGGGTGACCTGGACCAGCAGCACCTCTCCCCCGTCCGCTATCAGTCTGCAGCTCCATCTGCACTTCTGCCCGGGTCGCAGAGAGCGTCTCGCTGACGCAAAGAAGCGGAAGCTAGGGAAGTGCCCCTGCCAGCTGCCTAAAAGCCAGACATCATCGTCCAAGCAGAAAGAATGGCACTACGATGGAGAACAGTGCCAGCCCCCGGAGCTCACCAAGCTGACAACAGAGCAGATGCGAGAGCGGTTCGTGGTCGGCACTAAGGGCTTCCGGCTGAAGGCGCAGTGCCGCGACTGCGACCGAAAGGTCTGCAATACGCGGCGGGCGCTCTGCGCCCATCTGGCTGGGTGCGCGATGCGCCGCAAGTTCTTGCTCTTCCGGGGTGAGAAGGCGGATCGGTGGGCTAAGTGTCGCGATTGCGGTGCGGTGGTCAAGGCCAATCGAGGGGTTAAAATGGTGCATTCGGTGAAAGAATGCCCTGCTCGGTCCTCTGATTAAGCTGATGCTGTTATCAGGTCTAGCCCTAGAAGGAGCACGAGCAGCGAATAGTCATTGCCCTTGATATGTATATCCTCGTCGAGTCCGGCGCCTGTTGGAGTAGGATTGTAGGCGGATTGAGCGGAATATATCTGTTTCGCTTGAGCGTAGACCGGGTAGGCGCAATTTGATGCTTATTTACCTGGATTCTGATAATCCAGTTTATTGAATTTTACACCAGAGCTATGAAGTAATTGTAAATGTATCAAATCTTATAGAGATTATCTAGAAGACATTAGTAGATGGAAATATGTCACCACCTCGGTGGTCCAGTTCCTTCCCTATTGGGAACATACTGGCGTTCTGCACCTCCAAGTCGTCGCCCTCAAGTCTGTCTCAACTCCTTCGCATGATCTTGCCTTCATGACATCCTTCCCACACACTATGTAGATGGAGATCTTATCTAAACCGTTTTGAACCTTCCTTTGTCTCTTTAGTATCCACTACACTACACTACACATGAGTATGCAAAGTCACCGCTCGGAACAATCACATAGAAGGACTATATCAGACCGACGATGAAGATGTAGGCTGCGCGGTAGACACATCGAGTCTCCCAGTTGACCTACGCATCAGAAGGCCTTCTTTTCTTGTGACCTTCTCTTTTGAGACGCGTTACTGAAGAGCCAGGCTTCCAAATGTCCCGTTCTTTGAGCACATACATCTTTTTCTGGAAACCTATCCTACATCAGATATACACTGGTAACACCCACCGACTCTTTGATTGCAGATCTTGACCCCGATGAATGAACACTCGGGGCTTTCCGTCTCCGGAGATTGGATTGAATGGTGGGTGCTTGCTTGAGAGATAGTATAAATTCCCGTCCAGGACTCCTCTTCTAGTCACAGTGCATCCTTCACTGACAGAGTCGGCTGGACAGGAACCTCGACTGGCACATCTTCGCTCACCTGTACAGTACAATCATTTCTCTCTGGTAGGTTAGAAACCATGTCTGCGCCAGTGCGCTCAGGGCCCACTAACCCCGAAGCAGAAGCAGACGAGGCCCTCCTCCAGCATTTCGACGTCAAGGTCGGCAAAGACGGAACCCGACTCCTCCAGTGTCATCTTTGCAAACGACTCGTGCGCAACGCCATCTCCGCGTTGGAGTGGCATCTCCAGTACGGCTGCCGTGAAGTCAAAAAGCGAAGCAAAAGCACCTCAACGCGCACCTCCAAGGGCTATAGTCACCGCCGCAACGGCGAGGGTCTGGGTACCCATGTCAACCAACGCCGATTCGTATGCCGCCGCTGCCACGAAAACGTGGGGTGGCGCACGACATCACTGAGGGCCCATGTGCAGACCTGTCTCCAAGGCAGGGTTCGAACGGTAGAAGGAGAAGCTTTCATCGCCGAACTGCAACGAGAGCATTTTGCGATCTCCCCGGACGGCGACGGCGAAGGACCGTCCATCTGGCGGAGAGCGACTTGTCGCTACTGCCAGAATGTCATGCAGGACCGTCTGCAAACAATGGTCGAGCATCTGGTTTGTCATTGTCGTGCTGCTGCACATGGGCGGGTACAGGGTAGATCTGCTACTCCGGGGGGGAGTAGCGCCGTCTAAAAATCGGCTCTACTGCCCCCGGGGAGTTGGGAGGATTGTGAAATCCTTCGGGTCTTTTGATTTTCAGGATATTCCATAGGTTCGGGTTGTGTCTGACACCCGGACTTAGTCGCCATAGCGATAATCTATTTATATCAACTTTCCTGATCGTTATTCTTTTTACTTGCAACCCGGTTATACAACATTTGCTACTGTATCAACATCTATCTTTTTTATAACCAGGGTTTTTTACTGTATAACTTGCACTCATATCTCTTAGCACTTGAAAAGCCACGTTTTTCTGAATTTCAAGTAGCCACCATTCTTCGGAAGGTGAGCCACATACCCTTGAGCACTCGAGCTTCTTGCGTGTGAATTACAACTTGTGAACTCCGACCGCTCCGAAGCACAGACTCGCGTAAGCAGACAACTAGTAAGTAGATTAGATAATTAAAATAAATTAAATAAGAGGCGGAAATCAGGGTCCTCGACCGCGTAGGCGTACTTCAGGAACACGCCCAGCTCGTCACAGCGGGGAACAAGCCCGGGGGCCTCCTGGCCTCGCTCCGCCGCCCACTCCTCCGCCTGCTGCTGGAAGACTTGCTGGAGCATATCCAGGAACTGCTCGCGGGCTTCGTGTGTCCGGCAGGCGCGGCGGGTGCACCCCGTCCAGGGGAAATGGGAACACCTTGTCCTGGCAGGGTGATGTGTCAGGAAAAACAAGGTCGAGATGATTGCCGGTCTACGAGGTATCTATATACGCTGGTAGCACATTTTGATAATAGTGTCTTGTGGAACCAAGGGGAAAGGCTAATGCGATGCTCCGATTTTCCTTTGTATACGAAGATAGCCACTAGCTGCTACCACGCTTCCGAGGAGATTGCGCTTTTGGCCTAGAACGTATCATACTATTCTGAGCACGGCAAATTCACACTGAAGCAGATTAAAGACTGATATCGCACCGCCGAGAGATCTGCAAGACCTCTGTCCGAGCCGTGTTAGAGAACTGCTCTCATTGCCGGCAAGGAGAATATCTTACGCATATAACCCAGAAGCAGCTGCTTTGGTCGTTGAGCATCTGTCTACCGCAACAGCACAACTCTAGCAACACGATACATGTTGTCAGCTCCTGCTTGTTGTCTGGTAGTACTGTCTTCAACGCCACTTCTTTTCGTCTCTCAGTCGATTCTTCTCTACTCAAGAGAGGCCAGACTCTCTTTAGGTTCGCCCAAGGGAATTTATGTGGGTGAGACACGTCCTTCCTAGAGCGATACAGGACACCAAAGCTTTGGTCCTCACCCTAGTTGGGTTCAACGGAATCAACCCAGTAGCCGATGGGCCTGGTTTCATAAAACTTTTCAGTCAATCATCGCCAGCCGCTAAGCCCACTTCCTCGAAGAAAGCGCAGCATACACCCCCTTAAAGCTGATGATGTATATTGTAGTGCAACTTGCAAAGCGTGCCCTCCTGTTCCTAGTAGTATGTTGAGTTCCGTTGAGAATACGCTAAAGGATCTTCAGATCTCGATGCTTGTATGTAACGCGGGTTCCTGCATCTTATCATCTTGTACGACCCTAATTCTTGAATCGTAAAAGGTGAGTATCGTTCAGCGTACCAAGTGGGAGTGATTCACAAGCCGGTTTGCCAGTAATGCTATATTAGCCGAGCTGCGGGATATTTTCTTGAGAACTGATGCCTGCGACGTCCTGAGGACTACAGTAATATGTACTACCCATTTCTTCTTTTTGAGTATGGATTCAGTTTAATCCCGCATCACAGAGAGGAAATCTCTCAAAGTAACGTGGTAAGAAATGGCAGTCTTATCCCAATCTTTCCTGGCGCAAGCGGAGCGACGAAACTTGTGCATGTTTGCGCCAACCCGGAATGTCATACCAAGTCCTGTCTGTGTCAGTGCCCCGTGATTATCCCGTGATCCAGCAGTATATGTTTGCCGAGATTGGGTGCTGGCAGGGTGAAACAAAAGTGACTGTACAGCTGTCGACCCTCACATTAGATTACCCTATCACTTTCGACATCTTGACTTCAATATTTACACTTATCGCAACCCTGTAGATCTCCTTCCTACTCAGAAATCATGAATCAAGAGAGCATGAGACTCCCTACCAGCCATAATATAGTTAGATGGAAAGCAGTCACATGACCGCTTATCTATCTAATCAGCCGCCGCCCGATAGAGCATCCATCCCTATCGGCAGAAAAAAAAATTCAGAAAGCTATCCAGGTACAATACTAGCGAGCGCCAGCGGCTGTTCCTTGTGACTCACAGTACATATATCTTATTCACCTCAATTAGATCTCCCCATGACTACTCTCTTTAGAGCTTAGAGTCCTCACATTCTACACCAACCCTTCCCTCACGGTCCTCAAAGACCGCCATCACCGCCGGGGAAACCGAGTACAGTACCCCGCCATACCGCCGCAACACGACACAACACACCACACCACAACACAACACAACACAACACAACACAACACAACACAACAATCCTCAACCCTCCCCTCGAGACTCAAACCACCTACATCGCCTAGTTGCGCATATCCAACCCCTCCCCCCCCCCAAACAAACCACCACAACCACAAAAATGTCCACCCAACCCACAACCCCTGCAACCCCCCCAGCAGGAACCAACTACCTGGACCTAGGCATCACGCTGGCCCTGCACAACTGGCCCGCCCTCACGCTGGCCGTACAATCCCTCTGGGGCGGCCCGACCTCCGCCGACAAGCGCGACTGGCTGTGCGGCGCGATCTCGGAGATGCTGGCGACGCGGCCGGAGACGGACTCGTACGACCTCGAGGACGTGCTGGTGCAGGTGATGACGGACGAGTTCGACGTGGACGTGGACGACGAAAGCGCCGCCGCCGTCGCGGACCAGATCATGGAGATGAAGGCGCAGACGGAGCGCGGGGAGTACGCGGGCATCCAGCATATGTGGGAGGTGTATCAGCGGAAAGGGGGGGAAACTGCTGTTGCGGGGATTCAGCGGGCGGCGGGGGCGGCGGGAGAGGATGATAGTGAGGACGATGAGGAGGACGAGGAGATGGATGTGGATATGGATGATGATGCGCCGGCGTTGGTGCGCGCGCCTAGGGAGAAGGTCGAGCCCGAGGTCGATGATGATGGGTTTACGACGGTTGTGTCGAAGAAGCGTCGGTGATGCTTTCTTTTATTTTTATTCAAATTTGTGCTTGATACTTGCTTGCTTGCTGCGATGCTTTTTCCCGAGCTGTATGTATGTATTTCGATTCCCCTTTTTTTTTTTTTTTTCTTGTGATATAGATAAATACACTGCCATGGGTTTACTATACTATACTAAAAGACTTTCTGTGGTCTTGGTGTATCCTGAAGCAAATGCTGGGTGGGCATGGCGAGTTTTATGGCGTGCTTCTAGTCGCGTTATATCGATCGACTCAGGGTTCAGAAGTCTGGCACGAAACAGAAGGGGAAAAAAAAATTAAAATTCATCATCATCAACCAACGTTAAGCTTGTCATTGTCGAGCCCGTGTTCCCGCCCATGCCACCCTAGATCTGCCGAGCCCGACAAACTCTTTCCCTGTTGGCCGCGGTAAGAGAGTTTGGGAGCTTATGCAATGGATGCAATAACCGATAATTCACGCATTTACTCGGCAACAACTTCCTCGTTCTCGATAAGCTTGGTGATCATACCAATAGCAATGGTTTGTCCCTAGCGGTCATGTTAGCGGCGCGCTTGATTTCAGCATGTTTGGAGAGATTGGCTACTTACTTGGTCACGCAGGGTGAAACGTCCCATCTGCTCCGAGTAGGAGAAGGGTTCACAGCAAACCTGTCCAGCTGTCGAGGTGACCTCAACTCTGGCGATAACAGTCATGCCCTTGCTGGCGAAGGCGGGCGCCTTCTTGCTACGACGACCGGTGCCGGGTTCGAGCTACCAAGATAAGCGTTAGCGGAGGAGTGGACATCGCGACAATGGGCGGACATACCTTGTGCAAAAGAGCGGCGATAGTGACTTCTTCAACAGCCGAGTGCACGTGCATAACGCAGTTGAAACCGGCAGAAAGAATGCCCTTGATCTCGAGCAACTTGATCTTGGCCTCGAACGAGTGGACAGAGTGGACCAGACGTCTGGGAGAGCACAGGACGAAACCTGGAAGAAGGTCTTCTTCTTCGACACCACGAAGACGCATACGGACTTGGTCACCGCAGCTGCCAGTGGCGATTTCGTCTTCGGTTTCGCCATACAGAGCAGCGACTTCGCACTTAGCAAGGCCGGGCACGACCACCATTTGGGCACCCTTCTTGACGATCTGTAGCATTGTTAGACTCGGCAAAAATAGGAATGGTGGGATATACATACACCACTGTCGATCTTGCCTTCAACCATAGTTCCCATATCCCTGTACTTGGCGCTGATAGCCATTGCAAAAGGAGCATTCAGCTTTCTAGGAGGGAGTTCCATGTCGCCGAGGTACTCCAGCAACGAAGGTCCATCATACCAGGGGCACACGTCCTTCGTGACCTATATTGACCTGTCAGCATATATATTTCGTGATATGGACGACTTTCACTTACCCGGTCCTTGATGTTGACCATGGTCTGTGCACTGATGGGCATGAAGGTCAAGTCTGGATTGAGCTGTCAGTATGTCTGGGACTTCCAACGATAACAATGAATTGTGTACTAACCGGCTTTTGCGTAACCCAAAGCTTCCAAGAACTTAGCCACCTTGGTGGTGCAAACCTTGAAACGCTCCTCGCTCCACTCGACAGTAGGATCGTCCATCTTGTTGACGGCAATGACCAGCTTGCGCACACCGGTGTTTCTGGCAAGCAAAGCGTGCTCACGGGTTTGGCCACCCTTCTCGAATCCGGTCTCGTACTCACCCTTACGGGCCGAGATGACGAGGACACCGACATCGGCCTGGGTAGCACCACCGATCATGTGGTGCACGTAGGCCTTGTGACCAGGGGCATCCAGAATACTGCAGCTTCTGGTGACACCATTCTTCAGCTGGAGATCGAAATGGGCGCGGCCGACTTCCACGGTCTTGCCCTTAGCACGCTCTTCGGGGTTGAGATCCAGAGCCCAGGACAGGTACCAGGTCTCACGACCCATTTCCTTGGCGTCTCTCTTGTACTTCTCCAAAGTACGCTCATCGACCATACCAGTGGCGACGAGAATGCAGCCTCCCAGAGTGGATTTACCGGCATCGACGTGTCCGATGAAAACCACGTTGACGTGTTCCTTCTTCTCCAGCTCGCCGTAAAGTTCGTTCAAGGTGGCCTCGTCGACATCGGCCTTCTGCTCCTGGGCGACGGCATCGGCGTGGCGAGCAGCCTTAGCAACCTCGGCTCTGGAAGGGCTGGAGCGGCCAGGGGATGACCGGCCGGAGGCAGGAGCAGGGGAGGACTTGCCACTGGCAGCAGACTTGGCCTCGGCCTTCTTCTCGGTTTTCTCGATGGCCTTGGAAGCCGTCACCTTAGCGGCGGCGTCGGCGGCAGCAGCGCCCTTGGTGTCACCGGGGGTGGCCGTACCCGAAGTCGCGGGGCTAGGGGAAGCGGATGTGCCGCCGATGGAGAGAACCTTTGTCTTCGGAGCGTTGGGGGAATCGCTGGCACCGCTGAGGCTGAGAACCTTAGCCTTGGGCTCGGCGCCAATGCTCAGGACCTTAGCGGCGGGCTTGGGGGCAGCGGGCTTGGGCTCCGCAGCGGGCTTGGGTTGTTGCTGAGGCTGCTGAGCCTGTTGGGGCTGCTGCTGGTAGCCACCGTATTGTTGCTGGTTGTTGTAATATTGGTTGTAACCGGGCTGCTGAGCATAGGCTCCGTACTGTCCTCCGTACTGACCGTAAGGCTGCTGCTGCTGCTGCTGCTGCTGCTGGTAACCGTATTGTTGGCCGTACTGGGGGTATCCGCCGTACGACTGCTGACCGGGAACGAAAGAAGCGGCGCCGGGGGTGAAGGAAGCAGCGCCAGGAGTGAAGGTCGAGCCCTGGTAGTTGAACTGCTGTTGCGGGCGACGACCGTTGTTGTTCAGGTTCACACCTTCGGTCTGTCTGGAGAGCTCATCCTCCCAGGATTCGGGGGTTTGGTTGGCCATGGTGTATAACGCTGGAAAACCGCAAATAGAGCAAACAACTCAGAAAACGTCCCAGAGATATCGCGAAACAAGTCTGGAAGACGGGAAAGAGGGAAAGAGGGGTGAAAGACAAGGTGAAAGGCCAAATGAGGGGCGTTTTTTCTCCGGAGCCCGATTGATTTTGCTGGTGGCTGACTCAGCTGCGCCTCTTCCCCGCCCTCCGCGTGTGTTGCGTTTGCCGCGTTTGTTGCTGGTTACGCCGATTGAAGAATTGCAAGCTCGTAGCAGGTGACAAAGAAGAGTGGAAAAAAAAGTTCAAAGTTCATGGATGGTGACCTGAACTGCCAAACTAAACAACAGACAACGTGGGTGGCTCATCACCGATAAACACCTCATAACAACCCAAGGCCGCTACGGGCCAGTTGCATACAGCAGCTATCGCCGATCTACAGTACATCAACTCTGCAGCTGCCATAGATCGGAGGCGAAATGGATGCTTTTTTGCTCAGAGTAAGCTCTCAATATCACCTGTCTCACTTTCCACAAACTAACTTCTATCTTAGCTCACCCAGCAGGCAATGAACTATGCCATTCGGTATGACTCGGCGATTCTTGGCCTGATCTTGTCGGGCAGCTAGCTCACTGAGTGGACATGTAGCTCGGGAATAGCCATCACAGCCAAATATGCCATCCGTCAGTCATCACGGCTGCTCAAAGTCAGTTCGGAACTTCGTCACTCGCTCAGTCAGATATCTCTGAAAACTTCGTTACTGACGCAGTTCAGAATGTCGACAATTGCGAGGAAAGAGACGAATTGATATCTCTACAGCACCGCCTGGAGAGCAAGATCCAGGTAGGCTTCGTTCTCTCCAAGGCTTCTGTACGTGAGTATAGAACAGTGTGCTGAAGACAAATGACAGGTCATTTCTCCTGCTATCGACATGATTGAGCTTATGTGAGTCTCATATCCAACAGCATAGTTAGACACGTTCTGATTCCCCGAAGCGCTGCAAGAGGAAACACATCGTTAGAATCAGCAGTATTCCTCACCAAATCTCTACGATGGGACATACAAGCTCTGGGCCAGCGATTGGCAAAGGCTGCAACATCAGAAGAGCTCTACGTCCGAGGAGCCAACCCCAACCGCGATCGCTCGCAGCAGCAGAAAGAAATCCAGTATATCATCCGAGACATCAAGAAACTGCTTGTGCGCATCGAAGATGCAGTGCCCTTGATGAACCTGGCCATTACTACATCTGGCGCCAAGCTGTCGGTCAACCTACCATCGACCGTGTCTCCCTCTCGGTTGCTGCAGGCGAGCACGTTTCTGACCGCAGGCGATACCCAGTACTCCATGACTCCGTCCCACGCCGTGCAGATTGGTCCAACGTTCACGCTTTCGATGTACATGCTCTTCGCAAGTCATCTCCGCCCGCATGACGAGGACGGAATACGCGAGGCGACCTGGAAAGAGGTCATGCACAAAGCCCGCTTGAAACTCCGTCGGGTGCCCATGGACCTGGCAACACATCCGCAGCACCGGCAAACGCGGCACATAGGACTCCCCGGAGACGCACGAGTGGATGAATTCGCCTATCAAGTGCTCATAATCGAGGACCTCGACGACGGGCGAGTGCACTCTTTCGACGAAGGCGAGGCGCAGCCCGAGCACTTCGAAGGAGTCAATACCGCGGGAGTGCGCGAGATCCTGCCCATCCACCAAATCTCCAAGATCTTCTACGCCGACACCGGCAAGATCCTGAACATCAGCACCGAGGGGGAAACGAACAACCCCGTCCTCCTCCTCAAACGAGACATCAACGCCATCCCGCCACGACGCATGCTGGATCGCGACGAATCAGAGCTAGGCAACGTCTCCGACAGCCAGGACGACGACGACGACGACGAGACCAACGAGCTCCAAGCCCAACTCGACGCCCAGCTCAACAACAACGACGATAACCACCCCAGCTTCCACGAAGACTCCATCCCTTCGCAATGGCGCCTCCCCAAGGACCTAGACCCCGAATGGATCGCCTTCGAAGTCTACACCGAAGAAGACACCTCCGACTCCGAATCCTCCGACACAGAAGACGACCCCAACTCCGAAGCCATGGCCAAACTCTCCCTCAACCCGACGCACGACTCCCCAGTCCCCACACCCGCCTCCACCACATCCTCCTCCAAACGATCCCAACCCCCGCAAACCACCACAACCGTCTCCAACCCGCATTTCAACAACATCCGCACCTCGCTGTCCCTCCTCGAGACCCTCCTGCGCCTCACCTCCCTCCAGCAATTCCAGCAGCAATCCCACCTCTCCATCAGCGACGAGCTCCTGAACTTCTTCCTCGAGGAGTCCTCCACCACCGGCGCCGGCGGCGACGAACACCACCGCCAGCGGCTCCGCGCCGACGCCCGCCGCCGCGTCGGCTGGGACCCCTACGACGAGAGCCCCGTCAAGCGCCGCGGCGAGGACTACCAGTACGCCTACGATGCCCACGACCATGACCATGACCACCGAAACACCACCCCGCTCCGCTTCGGCCGCGACGACGAGAGCGAGTACCCGTTCTCCCCCAGCGACCGCGTCCATCGCGGCTATCACCTCCGTTCCCGGGAGGCCACGCCCGAGACGCCCTTGTCCTCTGCCGCGACCGGTGGCGGGCGGGCCGAGAAGCATCGTCATCCCAGTAAGCTGCGGACGGCGGGTGGGTCGCTGTCGTCGTTGTACGCGGAAGACCGATCCTCGCGGAGGGGGTCCCCGCTGTCGAGACGGTCTACCCCCGTGCCCAGTGTGGAGGGCTCGGAGCATTAATGTCCACGCGCCTTTGACCTGGGGTGATAGACAGACAGGATATCCCAACATCATGTATTTATCGATTGCTCAAGAAACCCGTACATTGTCACATACATAGTCGAAATGACGCAAGATAATGAGCTGATCTACCCTATTTTGACGAAAGAATGTGCGGTCTGTGGAAACTATGCTTTGGGTACTTCCAGAGTTTGTGTGGATTCAGTATCTGTGTAGGGATGATGGTAGACATTGTAACTGGATAGAATTACTACTCATCTGTGCCACTGTGCCAGGCAAACCAACTTCCCTCCTCGATTGTGATTAGAGTATCACCAATGGAGAAAACCGAAGGGGGCAGCAGAGGAACACAGCTAGTTGGAGACGCACGAATTGCTGACGGGTAAAAGGGTGTGTGGTAATAAGTACGTGATCAGAATTGGAAAAAAAAAAAGAGATATGATATCAAAATGGGGATCTTAACACCATCACAATCGAAGAGGTTTGGAATTGAGAACAGGCAGCCATAACTCCTTGCACAAAATACTAGGTAATAATTGGAGGAAGGGGATTTCGAATCCCTCAGACCAGCCAGCGGTCAGGTGTATGCAGTTGAGGTAGGTAGGAGATACTTAAAACGCGGAACGCTACTGGGTTTACGCGAGAATAGACAATTACTCCCAGTCGTCGTCGCTGTCGTCGTCCTTGGGCTTCTCCTTGGGGCTTGCGGGGGTGCGGCTGGTGGCTCCGCTGACGAGATCGTAGCTGGATTCGCTGTCGGGTTGGGATTGCTGGTCGTTGGAGCGACGGGGCTCGGTTGGGTTGGCGGTCTTTGCGGGGGCGGCGGCGGCGGGAACGCTGGTGGTGGCAGCAGGGACAGGGGTGGCGGTTTGGGTAGTGGTGGGGATGGCGGCAGTGATGTTCGATTTGACTTGAGGGGTGGAGGGGGAGTCGGTCTCCTCATCAGAATCATCGTCCCACTTCACTTCCTCGTCATCGACGGTTGCGCCTATAGCTCATTGTCAGCAAGAGCAATCTAGGGAAGAGGCCGCAGCCGATGTCCTAAAAGACTGCAGCTGACGGATTGTAACCATGGCAAGACAAGGACATAGACATACCTTGCAAGATCTCCTTGCGCCTCTGCTCCTCAGTCTCGATAACCAGACGAAGGAAGTAGTATCTGCACCAGAAGGTAGCGTATTCCACCTTCTCAGGAACCAGCTTCTCCATCGCCGCGCGCAGCTCAGGGTACTTCTCGAGATCGGCGGCGATCGCCTCGGTCTTCTCCGCGACCATGAACTCCTGCTTGAACGCCGGCCAGAGCTCGCTGACCGGATCGCTGGTGAAGCTCTCCAGAGTCGAGTGGATGACGTGCAGCTGGGCCTCGAAGCGCGTGGCGTGGATGACCCGCTTGCCCTCCGCATCCTTGCTCTCGAAGAGCGGCTTCTCTCCGGACCCTTCACTGCTCGGCGGCACGATGCTGACCGCCTCGCGCAGTTTCTGGCCGATATTCATGCCAAAGCGCAGGATCGCCTCATCGGCAGCCTCCTCCGCCTTCTCGATTTCCTTCAGTCGACGAGCCGCCTCGGCCTTGAAGCGGGAAAGGAACCCCTCACCCGGCTTGGAAGCCGTATCCGCAGCGCCGCCGGCGTCGCGGCTTTTCTCTCCAGCAGTCGACAATGCGTCTGTCTCGACCTTAGAGGCGGTACCGGTCGGCGTGGACGCCTCGTCTTTGCTGGTGCTGGCCCCTGCGCCGGTGGCCCCTGAGCTGAACGCCGTGCTCAGGGAGAGACCCCGCGTGCGCCCGACGAGACTGCTCCGCAGGTCAGAAAGGCCCTTGGCAGCCTCCTCGCTGGCAGCCGCATACTCCTGGCGGGCCCCCTCGTAATAGCTCTCGCCCTGCTTGCGGACGTTATCCCAGAGTCCACCGATGCGTGCACCCCAGGGGCTGGCGGAAAAGGCGCGGAAGGTTTCTTGGAGTTCGGCGTTAAGATCGACGTTGGAGCGGTCCGTCTGGGAAGGCTCGTTCGGGTCGGTTTCCTTCTTCGAGGCGTCGTTGGAGGAGAAAATCTCCTCCTGGATGTGGTCGTACGCTACATCCATCTCTGTCAGTTGGAGAGCAACGAGCGGGTTGGAGTTGGAGTTGGGAGATCAAATGACGGAGCGGCGGGTCAATGGCGGGCGGTCGGGCGGTTTGGTTCCCGGGGTTACAACGGCCCGACCGCCCCCACGTAGTTTCAGGGTCTAGTTTACATACCAAGTAGTCTACAGCTGCGATGAGAGAGACACAAGTGCAGTGTGGCATGTAGTAAAGGTGTATACATCGCTCGTCATTCATGTATTCGTATCATTATGTATCATATACTCAGGTATCTTCAGTCCTCGGAAATTACGACCCCTTGGGAGAGCTGTAGGGCTCTCCAACTGTGTCCTGGCTATCCATCAAGAACACCGGCAGGGGAATGCTTTCCATCACGCTTGAGGTGAGTAGGTCACTTCTTTTGATCAAACCGCGAGGACCCGAGTCATCTTGGTTCTGGGATCGATCACGATGCCTGTCTGCTGGCTGTGAAGACTCGACTTGCACTATATCTCGCGAAGCAAGACGGTGGGCGGGCGTCCGGAAATTGACGCTTCCGCCATCGTCATGTCGTACAATTGGCGAAGACTCCGGAACAAGTTCAGTCAATGTCTGATCTGAATCTATGCGCGTTTCAGAATCCAAAGATTGGGTCTCAGATGCAACAGTCATGCGTTTGGGAGTTTTAGTAGATGGCTCTGTCAATGACATGGTAGCGATGCTTTCATCGTTGCATTCATCTGGAAATAGCTCGGCCAGTCTTTGTGTGTTCAGGTTTGGCACTGGTCCAAGGGGGAACTGAGTGGCTGGCTGTATTCTTTGATAGCATATCGATGATGCATCTGAAGTGAGATTATCATCTAGATGCAGCTGCTCCGACTCTTCTTCCATCTCCGAAGAAGCGATTGGAGGAAGAGCCTGTGAGCTCTCTTCTGTGGCATCTTCATGCTCGAGATTGGCTGCACCGGGATCGTAATGCGGTACCTTCCTCTGTCGAGGTGATTCGATGGGGTTAGGCAAATCATCTTCCAAGTCACCGTAGTCTGTTTCCGCGTCTGTCTCATATACCACGGTTCTCTGAGTATTAGAAACATGTTCACTAATTCTATGCTGCTCATTGGATTCCCCCGACTTCACGTGCTCAGAAAATAGAGCAAAGCTGCCTTGATCACTCACGGAATTGCGCGGTAGTGGCGAGTCTGGAACCAAAGCGGCAGGCTGGGATTCATTAGATTCTGGAATTTCGCTCGGTGGGCTACGAGATGCTTCTTTGATGCGTTGCAAGAGAGGTGATTCTTGCTTTATACACTGGCCTGCAGTGTCGACAGCGTCGCGCTTGAACGGCGAATGAGTCGCGGCACGGAATTGCGACGATGTGATGAATGCGATACCCGAGCTTTCAGGCGACTGAGAAGACGGTACCTCCAGCTCTCGCTTTGCCCGAGGGGTAACGGAGCCAGGGTCTGGAGGGTAGTTTTCCTTCTCATTTTCGAATTGGACCTTCGTATCAGCAGCGACGCTCAGTTTCCGTTTCTTGCCTCCGCTTGAGGCCTCTTGGTCGGAGAAATGGTCCGACTGCGGGGCCAGAGTACCAGAAGCGGGCCGATTTGCTTGCTTCCTGTTGTTCTTCTTTGGCGTGGTATAAGTGTATTCCAACTTCACCTCATCGTCCGGCTCTATCTTCAGATAGCGCCGCACGTAGTCCATCTGTGTCAAAGTCTTGTTTCCCTTCTTTGCATCCTTGTCTGATTTGTTGCCCTTGACGTCCCCGCCACTCTTCCTGCGCTTCGGCTTCGAGTCTACCTCGCGCTGCCGGGTGGGTTTCGATTGTCCGGTCGACGTACTGCTCGGCTCTTGTTCGAACCTGACCCCGCGGGCTCGGCGAGGCTGGCGACTAGATGGCGGCCGATAATCGTCATCGTTGTTTGAATCGTCATCGAGCTCTATCACTTCATGATGGGCTTCCCGGCCCCGCTGCGGCTGCCTCTCATTGAGGTAGTGGAAGCTATCATCTGATCGGGCGGGCGGGGGTGTGGGCGTCACAAAGTCGATCTGCGTGAGGGTGGTTTGATCTAACGTGCTAGGGACATGGTTTCGCTTGGACGACCTTGCAGAGAACGAAGAAGACGCCGGCGGGTCGCACCAGGACTGGCCCTTGGCTGCATTCGCTATACTAGTCGAACGGCGTGCACCCGCAGAAGGCCTGTCCGGCGTTTGGAAGGATGGGCGGTGACTCGTCTGGGCGGTGGAAACAGTGTTTTTCTCCCCTTGGTTCATCGCAGAATAGGACGGTAGGATTGATTTGAAGAGTCACAGTGAGCCATAAGAGAAAGTGTCGCAGTCTTCCAAGTTGGTTTTGTCGACCGGGCGCCTGATGCTAGTAAGCTGGGCTGGTGTTAAATTGATTTCCTTGTTGAGGCAAATCGCGTCGCGCGTCGGACCCGTTCTTTGAACGTGGTCTGTGCACCCGCAGGCACCGAGGCACTCATCCCTCGTCATCGCTCCTGCTGTGCAATGATGTAGCCCATCTTCTTGTCATCCAACGTGTTGATAAACTGTGCTCGATTTGCAAGGGGCTCAAGCCTTTGATAATGAGTCGCGCTTCTAGGGAAACTAAGGTCCAGCTGTCAAAAGTGATGTACTTACTCTCTGTTCCTACGGTTTTGAATGTATATAAACGACCCCGGTGAAGGGCCAAAACCCGCCCACGGAAGTCTTACATACATCCAAGGGTCAGAAGCCATTGGATGCTTGGAACACATCCACATTTCGTTTCCTCAATAGGCTCGACCATCGGCAGAGTGCGAAAGGACAGTAGCATGTGTAAGCTTTAATCATGCATTGCGTCACAGATACGTTCCTCCCGAGCATGATAGTCACCTGCAACACTACGAGAAGACTTCAAATGAGGGTGGACGACCACAGAACTCGACAGAACTCAGCCATAAATTGCAGCCAGCGTCGTGATTACTGGCTGCAGACTGTATTGGAGCGATCTAGAGCCCCGAATTACCCCTTTGAGCAAGAATGCTGTCACGATCTCTGAAGTTCAAGGCACCACTTCCGTGGACGCGGCTATGCTACTCTGACCGTCGATGTATGGCACACGTCGCCGATATCGCTGAAATACCGACTGTGCGTAAAGCTACAGAATGGACGTTATCTTCATAGATCACTTCTGACCATCGACATCTATATAGGATGATGACAAACCATTCAAGGTCCCGATCGCAGAAGAAAGCTACGAAACATACAACCTCGAGGCACCTCCATACACACTGGAAACAACGAAACGACAGCTCAAAGAACTATACCATGACATGTTCATGATAAGGTCAGTTCGGCTCTTCGTATTGAGTTCCAAAAAAAATGGCACAACCAACCTAAAGGCACATACTAACAATCCCCTCGCAGGCGCATGGAGCTGGCAGCCGACAAATTATACAAGGAAGGAAAAGTCCGTGGTTTCTGTCATCTATCCATAGGCCAGGAAGCCGTGGCAGTCGGAGTTGAACATGGAATCTCCAGGGACGACAAGCTCATCACCGCCTACCGCTCCCACGGAACCACCTTGATGCGCGGCGCCACCGTCAAGTCTATTCTCGGGGAGCTGCTAGGACGCCAAGATGGCATCTCCCACGGGAAAGGTGGCTCCATCCATATGTTCCGGGAGAACTTCTTCGGCGGAAATGGCATTGTGGGATCGCATGTTCCAGTTGGCGCGGGAATCGCATTCGCCCAGCAGTACAGCAATCGAGATAGCGTAACCGTCAATATCTTTGGCGACGGTGCGGCAAACCAGGGCCAAGTCCATGAGGCCTATAACCTGGCGAAGCTGTGGGAGCTGCCTATCATCTTCTGCTGTGAGAGTAAGTTGTTTCGCACCCCCTTCTTTGCAATTTCCCCTCTTGGCGGGACTTCAAGTTTCCATTGTTTCGACGTAACGCTAAAGGCTAAGCCTAGACAATAAATATGGAATGGGCACATCCGTGCAGAGGTCATCTGCCATGACCGACTTCTATAAGCGCGGCCAGTATATCCCCGGCCTGCGCGTCAACGGGATGGATGTCCTCGCGGTTCTGGCTGCGATGCGTTACGGCAAGGCATTCGTCCAAGCGGGCAACGGACCGTTGCTGTACGAGTACCAGACCTACCGGTTTGCCGGACATTCCGTGTCGGATCCAGGCACGACATACCGGTCCCGAGATGAGATTCAGGAGGAGCGGCATCATGACCCTATCTCCTTCCTCAAGGATCAAATGATGAAATGGGGGGTATTCTCAGAGGAGGACGCAAAGGCGACGGAGAAGGAGGTTCGCAGCAAGGTCGACCGCGAGGCGGAAGAGGCAGATCATATGCCTGCCCCAGAGCCACGGTTGGACGTGCTGTTCCGAGATATCTATGTCCCTGGTAGCGAGCCCCTGCAAAGGCGGGGTAGAACCGTCGACGAGACGTACTACTAGGACGAACAGGCCAGGCCACTGAGTGAATTCATAGCATGTGATTCCCATCCACTTGTGTGGGATATATCAGAGTGCCGGAGACCCTCCTCCCCCTATACCCGTCGTAGATTCATCACCTTGACCTTCATAGTTCCTAAGCCAGAGACAAATCAGCTAGTACGAACCTATCAAGCCCCAAGACTCAAAATGGTTTTCCAGAACCCGCCCATGGCCACCCCGGAGTACTGCACCGCAGACTTCTCGCTTATCCCCGTACGTACTACTGACCAAGACTCCCTCAACTCTGTGCTTCGAACCCATAACAACACTCATTAAAACAGAATACTCACCCCAACCAATTACTAGATCGGCTCCAAAGACGTCTCTTTCTCCAAGCAAGTCGCCGAGATCCAGCGTCTGATCGAGAACACCGGCCTCAAGTCCCAGATGCATGCCACCGGCACTACCGTGGGTGAGTCCAACCTCTCAACAATGGCTCTATAAAACCTCTGTCAAGAAGCGAAGACCCCTGACGATGAGGCTGGAATATCTTTAAGAGGGAACCTGGGACCAAGTTTCGCAGACCATCGGATGCGCTCACACCATGATCCATAACGAGGGGGTGGGCAGGATCCAGACGGATATCCGCATCGCAACACGGTATGTTCACCTTGCTCCAAAAGAAAGAGAGGGATGGGAGGCTGTTTTGCTGACGCGTTGGTGTTCTGGTTGATAGGACCGATAAGATTCAGCCGATGGAGGAAATTATGTCCTCCGTGCAGAGGAAGCTGTCTACTTGATTGTGATGCGAGTGGTGTCCGGGTTATTCGAAAAGTGATAACTGGGTCTTTTGTTTTGGTTGGTGGAGTTGGAGAGGGATTGCTGTACGGGAATGGATGATGAAGTAGGTTTAGTAATGAAATTGTGCCTTTTAGTGTCTTTCTTCGAGATGTAGTAGACCGGAGATTCGTGGGTGTAGGTTGTGGTGTGTGGTGATACAGGCACTGGGGAGGTATCTGCTACGCAGCTGGAGAACGAACCCTTGCCTAGCGTGTGTTCTACAGACGATACCTCTCGCAGAACCTCGAAGTACTCCGTAGGTTCAGCAGCAGAAGAATTTGTTCAATCATAAAATACATCTGATCAACCACTACTAGCTGATCGCCAGACAGTCACAAACCCCTTAAATAACCTAGTTGAGAAATATATCACTATATGATAGATTATAAGACCACTAAATCTTGGCACAAATAATCCAAGACAAGAACTTGAAGAACTCCTGTTTCCAGGAGAAAAGACATACAAGCCTTGTACAGTACACTGGATAAGCAACTTTCCTGACAATTTACATCGTCCCCTTTCCCAGAGTCGAATACTAGAGTATCTGATGGCTGCATGACCAGCAGCGCAACCAAGACCGACCGCAACACAACCAAGCAGGCCACTAAAGCACATGGGCTGTTGATAGATTAATGTTTGACGTCATACAACGTTAGGACTCCATTATCGAAAAGTCCATGTGGCATGGAGAGAAGTTTCAATGGCTGCAACTATCATGTAAGAAACCACAAGCACCCAGGCACTCCCTTGTGGGCGGAACGTGGAGGTACGGCGATGGTATGAAGTACAGCGATGTAATCGATTGCCACTTCGAGACACATACATGAAGAACTGCCAGACCAAAAGCTCGGTTGCAGTTGCGATCGGCAACTTGACAAGGGAGTAGACCCAGTGAAAAGCAGTGGGTGGTTGTTCTTGTCGCTTTCCTGCTCGGATGGAGACTTGAGGCCTTTAGAAGCGTTTCCCTTGTGTTCGGCGGAACGTTATTGTTGCTTTAGAATATCCACTGAAATTGGGTATAGACCTATTGTACCTAGAAGGGGCCCACGATAGCTTACAGTTGGTAGAATAAGGTCATGCACGCAGTGATGGTCGGGATCGGGGACACTCTGGCCAGTGCCAAGTTGGCTGTCGAGGGAGTAAGAAAGCATTGACCCCATCTTTCATGTTTCAAGTTAAGCAGGTCGCATGTGCAATATGGACTTGATCTGTAGGTGCATGATGGCTTACTGAGACCAACTCTGTAGGCGAGCGAAGAAGCCCATTAACGCGGGTGATTATCGTAGAGTCCCCTTTCGGTGATAGTCATTGTAGGCTGCCTTCCATAAGATGGTGGAACCTTCCAGTATCGAGGTGATTGCAGATAGCCAGATGCAAGGCGAGGATTCGGAGCAATTGATAGAAAGGGATTGTTGTTAACTCATACATAGTATGATTTCAGTGACATACAGACTGTAACGTTATTGCATACAGTACGTCACACATACATGGTATATCCAACGTTTCTCACCGGAAGATAAGCAAAAGGACTGCGCAGGTCTTTGGAGTCCTGGAATCTGTGGGGATCCGACAGACTGGGATGGCTCATGCCAATGTAGACGCCGACCACCTCGCAGGGGTTGGCAGGCAGGCATCTTTTCCCGGGAGATTTAGGCAACCCTGCTCTCGGTAGAAGCCTAGATGCCTAGATGCCCTGTCTTTGCTACACTGCCTCCCTCAAAGGACAACCCCTGCACATACACACATACACACATACATAGCCCTTTCATGCGGAGGAGGTAGAAATTAGGTGGTACAAATAGCATGGTGGAGGCCCACCTGATTCGTGCAAAGCCTCTTTTGTGCATCATGGTGGTGAAGAGCTAAAAAACCAACTCTTGGCATAATGCCCTTGCTCTTCTATTGTTCGCATGGCTCGACAATCTTCCCCGATCAGGACGGATGTGCGTCAACTCGCCAGCAACAGTCACTAGTCTAGTATTTGTCAAGTCTAGGGCGGGACCTCCATACTGAGCTGCTCCTGATACAGTACAGGCAGTACATGCACAATGCGTTGAACATTAAATCTTCCTCTTCATTTGGAAAAGTCTCCGAGGATGCAATTCCACTTGATCTATTTGTTGATTTTAAGCCGTCCACTGCTAGATGAAGTTTTGAAATTGCCCCAATGCAGAAATTGATTAGATATGCTGAGTGCTGCTGACATAACTGTGGCTCCCAGGACTTACATACACGTATAGGAACCATCCTATGCGTGTGTTCATAAGAGCCAGTCGGCGAAGCGTCGGAAATGAGGCGAGATGGAGCTATAAACAGAGTTGTTTCTGTCATGGGGAGGGAAAGAGGATCTCTTCGAGCGGCTCCCTCCCAACGCCGAGGACAGCCATAGGCTGGAACAGTGGTTGCGAACATGGGGTTCTGGTGGAAGATCATCTAAATTTTCCCTTTAGCGTCCCGTTGTTTTATTTGGAACCGGCCCCATTCCCCTTGTGCTTGACCCAGTTGCGAGGAGTCGGACTGTCGGATGGTCTGCCTTAGTAGACTATCGGGCAGGAACAACGAGCCGAGCTCTATGCAGCATTAAGACCCACGCGCTATCAACACTATTTTGGCTGCTCATTGGCGAAGAAGAGTCCCAAGACAGGGATCTAGGAGCCGTTGCGGTGACTTGTCCTCTCCCTGATGGCTATGCTCTCATGGTGCAGTAGCTTTCCGGCCGGCCACTTGCTATACTATTCTAAGCATTAGTGAGACCAGTAGTAGGGTTGGCAAGTAAAAGCATTGCAAGCTAGAGAATGCTTTTTTGCGACCTAGGAGCCTTTCAAATCCCGAAAGTCTCTCTCACTCAAGCGATTGTTGCCATGACCAGCGTGCAAGTTCCTTCTTCCATCGCCCTGCTCAGCCTTGTCTTGCCGACGACCTCCTTGCTCCCTCCGCCTGAAGGACCCAGGGTTGTGCGTCCTACTTGCCTATCAAACGCACTCGCAGCATTCTGGTTCTTGCCAAATAACATCACCGCTTTGTGTGGCCAGCCATCATCACAGAGACACCTATCTCCGCCCAGTGACTGTGACACTGACACGAGTTGCCTTATAGGGAGTGGATGTGACATCACTCGAACTTGCTCGAGTAGGATGGCAGATGGTCTCCGTCATCCATGATTCCAATTAACTTCGCCTAAGCTCCGTCCGATGGGGGTCGCCGACTAGGTTGCCTTCACAGGACTGATGTTGACAGTTGTCACTTTGCCTATCTTACCCCACCATACCTATACGAGTCAATGCACCTGGATTAGGCAGGACTCTAAAAGATCCATGATAAAAGCCGATTAAATGTCAGGCGGGTTATGGAGTTCTAGATCTGCCATCCGAAGACTTTCCTTGCCTCTTTACTCGTTATTGAAGTCGACTAGAAGCGAGAGGTATCCACCACGAGGAACATAGAGCGTCTGTAGCCTCAGCTTCATGTGATGTCCCTCAGTTCTTGGTCGATGATGGTGCAAAGCCCCATAGTCTAAGTCTTGGGTCGGAGAGGGGGGCACTCTCCGAATCGGGAAGTAATGACTTTGAGCCTGAGCTGAGTGTTCTAACCCCCTCCCATGAACACCACAGGCTCACTAAGCTCATATACATACAGTGTCAGATCTCTAGAAGCGAGGGGTCAGCACTTACAATTTATTTTTCTTCCACTGCTCACGCTGGGTCGTTTGATAAATGCTATAGTTTAACTGTGTCATGTTCACTTCCGCGAGGTACTCTGACGATTGACTGCGAAAAAGACAGTGAATCATGGAATCTGATTTGTAGATCGGCAAAATTATGGTCTAGACTAGATCTTGGTACGTATTGAAAGAGAAAAACAATGCTTGACCGGCCATTGCAGTACTATGGTAACGAGGTACTCAAGGCCCGAAGTTTGTACTTGGGGGGTTCGTCTGCTCGGATCCGGAAACGGAAATAGATTTACCTCGATGATCCACCACCATTTTGCAGTGACTCAAACTATGCTACTCCGTACAAGCTCCCTCTTGGCAGCAACGAGGCAGTGGGTGGGATGCATGACACCGTTTCCACAGAATTTGTTGCCGGGAAAAGTGCCTCCTTCTGGACTATGGTCAAAGATTTCACTTAACCAACAGTCATCCCCAAACAGTCATCCCAAGAAGTGCATATGGACTGTGACAAGCAACCTGGAGGCTGCATTGTGCGTAACATGACTAGAATCTCATTGTACGCATTATCACTGCATGAATACCTGTGTCCTGTGTACTGTACTGTACCCTAACGTGCTCTATGCGTCTCCTTCGGCTGTTCAAAAAACTGGATCGCCGCCCCGCAGATGCATCCTGTATGCACCATGTCCGCTGGGAAGGTCCGAGAATCCTGAAAGAATGACCAAAATTTAAACTCAGATTTCATGCGACTGTCGTACGATGTTGGAGGTCAGCACTCACTTAGGCATGGAACCCGGCCGAGACAAGCCCGGTGATACTCTGCTTAAGGTGTGTGCTCAAATACTGTACGCACAACTGCGTATGTGCAACATCGTCTGCTGTACAGTACATAGGCCAGCAGCCGATTTACCATCTGGTGCTGCACAGTGTCATGCCTCATGCCTCTAAAAGCTACGGAGTTAGAGGCTGTGTATCTTATCTCGCCAATTCCTGCTACCTCGACTCTTGTGTCGCCGCAAGCTTCCCAAAGGGTTGACGACGAGCAAAACTCCATTGGAACCGGTTCAGGGTAAGGGTGAACGACGATTAGCTTTCGCGTCCAGATGCGGGAGCTTCCCGGCATAACCGCAAGTGGAGTTTGACCTTTGAATTTGAAATAGTGGAGGCATAAACACGGAGCTGGCGAGGGAGGCCACTCGAAGGATGTGATGCTTGCGATTCCACCAGACTGTGTGGGTCAGCTAGGATCCGACAGCCAGGATCCGACAGACTGGATACGGCGGTAGTTCCGTGCCTCCTATCCATTTCGGCCATTGTACTGTAAAAGAGGAGGAAGGCCTTGTCTTCGGATGCTCATTTTCAAAACAACCAAAAACTTTTTCCCTGTCAAAATACATCAGTTGTTGACTGAGCGGGGTGGTGGTTGAAGAGGATTGTCACACACGGAAACCCAGGTCGTAAGACTGGCCAAGTCTAGTCGCTTCACTCTCCTGCTCTCCCAGTCTGGTTTTGCCGGGCCTAAGCCTATAGTCAAACGTTTCTCATCTATTAAACTTTGGTCGCGTCGTGGAAAAAATTACGCAGATGTGGTCTTACGAGGATCATGCAGCCTGCATACGCGCAACAGGCCTCATTAGTGAGAGGTAACTTAGTGTTCAGTAGTGAGCAGCAGCACCATTAAAAAATTCAGCCCAGTCGGATAATGTGGGAGCGATCCAAGGATGGGACTTTCCAGCCGTGTGGCACCAACAGCCATTGGATCCCGGGTGGTTTTTCTGAAGATCTTCCACAAACCTACCTCCCTGCACCCTTGATTGTCTCTCAGTGTCGTACAAAGCACCCCTTTACAGCTTGTTACCTTTCTCCGAAGTACAATACCCGCCCTATCTCTTTTTCTTTCTTTTCCCTTTTGATGGATGCGGAGATTTCTGGTGTTGTGATAAGACAATGCGTCAGCTTTGAACAACTGCCAAACTGCCACTGTCACAGTACTAATAAATAAACCTCCGTAGCGTGTTGCAGAAGTCGGGTATATCTCTGTTGTGCTATTGGGCCAAAATTCCAGCTAGGGTAGATGAGAGAACCCCTTTCAATTCCTCCTTCTCTCTCTGATTAGCGAATCTAATCTATAGTGTAATGAGCCTTTTTCTCCACAACGATTGTCATCGTGAGTAACAATACCATCCATGTACGTACTACTATCTATGTATGTACTGTACATACCCCATTGCAGGACGCACCCGACAGGCTGGGACGCCCGTGCGCTTTTAGCCCGATGCTTTTCTACCGATGAGTAGTGTAATAGTAAAAAGAAATAAGGATAAAACAAGCCACATATAAGGACTGTCAAACCAAACAGCAAACACAGGAAAGAGCTGTGTAGGGATTTTCGACAGATATGATGAACTTGTTCAGTTTGAGCTCCTCTTCAATTCCTCCTTTTACCCCTTCCTCTCTGCTACTACTAACTAGTAAACACTCCCACTCTTAGCAATTGCTCCGCGTAAACTCTACCATGGCATGATCCTGGTCTTTAAGCGACGTCGGACCCGAACCAAGGATTCTAGGAGGAATGCCTATATCTGTCCCAACGATCCAGGGATCCCTGCAATAAGCTTGGGATTGATTCGAGGTTTCCCCTCCCCGTGAAGTGAGCAACTTCGAAGCTCGGTCTTTTATCATCTCTCCGGGCAAGGGGGAATTTCTTTTCTGTTCTCTCCTCCGAGGCTCAATGTCTTGGGTTCCACTCTCTTTCAGTTTGTCTTGCTTCAGAGTGAGCGGAGACACTTTTGGTCTTTTTTCTTTTCTCTTTTTTCCTTTTTCTTTTCCCATTTTTCTCAATTCCCTCATCTGTTCTTGTGCTCTGTTTCCTCATTTGCAAATTTTTCTTCTCTCTCTGTCCGCCCCTCCCGGCCCTACTCTCGGCTCTACTGTTAGATGGGAAGGGGGATTTCCGGTTTCCTCCTACTACAGCTGTAAGCCACTAGATAATTATCCGTAAATACGTAGTAGTAAGTGCGGAGGAAATCAAGAGCGAGACTAATAGAAGTACGAGTACGTATGTCCATCGTGTCTTTGACCATTCAAGGTAGTATAGGCAGAGCACGGAGTAATAAATTAGTCAAAATTAGTCAAATCTAGAAGACCCAAAAAATTATGTTTCTATTGACCGGCAAGTTCTTGATGGGGCTTTGCATGCATCTGGGTTGCTGGGCTTGTTTGTCCCGCCGCCCGAACCGCCCACTTGGTTCGCAGGGCCGCAGCGGTAACTGGAGCGTAATAACGCCCCGTCCGAGGGGCCTTCCTGAGCACTAACTCGTAGTAAGTAGCATTGTATGTACAGTACATCCATACCAGAAACCAGAAGATGACAGGAAGTAACCTCCTGTTGGAAGTTATCAGGCCTGAAAAACCACGTATTTCATGGGGCTATAATATCGTTCTCTATGAACAGGAGTGTTACAATCATTCATTATGATTTTGAATTATCGCTTTTATTGGCATCCGTTTGATCCTGTCAAATTAAGTTAAACATTAGGAGACGAATCCTTTCCCCCCTCCTCTTCCTCATCAAGTCAAACTTAATCCAGGCTGCCGGGTCAGTCCAGGTTACCAGGAGAAGAGGAAAAGACAGCCGATGTCTCCTACTACCTTGCCCATCACTGCCCCCGGTCCCTCCCTCCCTTCTCGTCCTCTGCTTAGCTAGCTAATGTCATTAAGGGAGAAGAAGGCTGTGGCAGGTGGCTAATTAAAATTAGAGTAACTTTAAAAACTGCCCAGCAGTTCTCCAGATCTGGCTAAGGTCCCTCGATCCTAACTTCCAGATTTGCAAGTCCTTATATCGGTACAACATCAGACAATTCGTAATTCCCTCCTCGCCATCGTCCACCACATTGTTGCCCAAATTTCTCTCGTAAGAAACTTTATGGCTAAGTGTTGGAGAGGGAGACGTGATTGTCGTCACCCCTCATCTTGGTTGATTATCATCTGGAAACATTTACCGAGCCCAAGACTTGGATGCGAACTACTTTTACTATTAGTACTTCTCGTACAGTAGTACTACTCCTACTACTACCAAGTTCACCCCACTCGAGACCTGGGCCCTAAAAGTCTTGTTACTTAAGTCTGCCACTACAATGGCTGGTGCAAGGCTGGCCGTAAGCAGATCTTTTCCTCTAGCTCTATGTGGAAAAAGAAACCCTACTTGATTCCCTTGTTGCCGTTGTGGTCCTTGTTGTTGCTATTTGCCTTAACACACCTGCTTTCTCATCAAGTCGCCACCTACACTTAGCCCGCCCCCAAACCGAATCCATCGAGCATCTACTAACGAACAATGGCACAGGCATCGAATCGTGATGAGTAAGTCCCATTTCATATCTTACGACTTAATAACAGTCGATTGAACCTCTCGGAGTTCTATTTTCCATAAGTCTATACCGGTGTTGACTGACTATGGCAGCGAAACACAGTCGTTAACAGCAAGCGTAACGGATTATCCTATGGAGCATGGAAGACGATACCATAAATATCATGAAGGATGTACGTCTGCAAAGGATCGATCATGTCGACACGGACCCCATCTAACAGCATCCCCCCAGCATACTTGTACCCGAACGATGAACAGGAACTGGATCGGATGGATATGCAACACCACATGCTCAAACTAGTCAACCACGGGCGCTTGTACTTCGCACCTGTCCAACGCCCAAAACGGATTCTCGACATTGGTACTGGTTCTGGTATATGGCCTATCGAGATTGGTAAGGATTTCCACCCAGATCTACCCTGCTTACCTGTCATCCGATCGATCAACTCACATGGTTGCCGCGTCTCGCCTGTAGCATCCGACTTCCCAGAAGCCGAGATCACAGGAACCGACCTTTCTCCTGTTCAGCCGCTTGAAGTTCCTGAGAATGTTCACTTCCTCGTCGACGATGCCACGGAGGAGGACTGGCTGTGGGGCCCGAATCACTTTGACTTCATCCACACCGGGCATCTGATAGGATCTCTACCGTCGTACAAGGACCTGCTGAAGAAAGCACACAAGCACCTTAAGCCGGGCGGCTATGTGGAATGCCACGAGTTCGACTCCCGGCTCAAATGCGACGACGGTACGATGCCTCCCGAGGACCCTGACAAGTTCAGCGACTATGCCCTCCAAGATCTCATGGACCTGCACCACCGCTCCGGCCAGGTCTCGGACCCGCCCCGACAATTCCGAGTGGCCCATCGCCTCGCACGCTGGATGCGAGAAGTCGGGTTCGAAGACGTGCAGGAACATCGGGCCATGGTCCCTGTGAATCCGTGGTCATCCGATCCACACCTGAGGAAGATAGGGGCCTGGAGCGAGACAAACCTGCTGGAAGCGGTCGCGGGATGGTCTTACAAGCCGCTCGCCATACTGGGGTGGTCGAAGCCCGAGATCGAAGTGTTCCTGGTCGATGTTCGGAAAAGCATTCAAAATCGCAACGTCCACGCCTACTACGAGTTCTATGCAGTGACAGGCAGAAAACCACTCACTGGCTGAGTTGGTTTTGGTCTGCCTTTACCACCACTAGCGGCATGAATCTTCACATATCCTCGGCTTACGTTTCTTACCTGTGACAAATTGTTTCCTTTTTACTGCTTTTCTTATGTGTTAACTGGCGCTGGCTGATGAGCGTATGGCATACGATACCACTGCGGCAGAGATTTTGGTGCATTGGGAGGCGTGTCTTGGTCAACTCACTTCTTGTACATATTTAGACATTTACATGTCATAATCTCACTTACAAGTAGTGCATGGTGCAGTATCCGACTGTAGGAAAAGACGGTATTGGCTTATAGTGTTAGTCTAACCTGGGGAGTTCTTAGCAGGTAGCCTCGATTGTCATTTGTACTTATCTGGCGTACTCAAAAAGCAGATACGACACCAGAATGGATGGCCATAGCTCTAGGAAAGTAGAAAGAAGACATTCGGGTTCACAATCATGCCAAAATGCAACAATTTTCTGGGCTGAGTCAGGGTTGTATGTATCCAGTGGTACTTCTGCTCATTCATCAAGGGCGAGTGCAATCACCAGGGGCGACGAATGAGGAATCAGGATTCTGTGATTACTCATCTGCTGCGCTGCGATCTCCGGGCCCGCGGTCTAACCGGCCAAGAGGTTCCTTCACTATCAAAATCCCGCGCCGCCCGCTGGTCCAAATCAATCTCAGCAGGCTAAACTCAAGCTCAGTCCTCCTTCTCGCACATGTCGATTGCCTCATGTCTCTCGGCAGACATGCCTACAGGCATGCTGTACATCCAGTCTCATCATCGTCGGGGTTAATCGACCACGTCTGGATCAGCGATGATCTGTTGGCGTCGACCTTCCGAAGCTTCGTCAAGAGTCAACGACGCCATGCAAGCCGCGTCCCGGGCCCATTGGAGGCTCGACGACGGCTGGCGAAGAGAAAAAACTGCGCGCTCGCTCCAATGACCGGTGCGCTGCCCCCGGATCCCCATCTGTTCGGGCGCGGAGGCCGACAACATTTTCTGTGGAACGGCGATCACGCGCCAGCATCTTCACCACTATCTTCTCCTAATGATGCCACCCACTCGGTCGAACTCGATCAAATGGAGCCTACTCGCGCTGATACGACGAGGAGAGGTGGGCACGGACTTCAACCAGGGCTCTCGCACTACGATTTTCACCCCCCGCGCGCTCCAATTGCGCCTTTGTCCGTCGAAAATGAGACGATAGATCCGGACGGGTTTGTCGACTTGAGCAGCTCATCAGAAGCTATCCCTTCTCCTCCTCCTCCTCCTCCACCACCACCTCCTCCTCCTTCACTACCCGACGGCAACTTGGATGACACGGGCGGATTCGCGGATCTGACTAGCTTGGAGGAGTCTGAGCCTGGCTCTTTAGGGCGCGATGTCGAGGATTCCGATCTTGGTGGATTTGTTAAACCGGCCGAGTCGTTTGATGCCTCTTCTCCTCAATCAAACAGCGGCGGGGTGCATAAGCCAAGTACCTATGTTGACTTGTCAGCGGAGCCTGCGTCTTCACACCCTTACAGTGATGTGGTCGGTTCAAGCGGATTCGTGGACCCCGTTAGCTCTTCGGCCCTACCCCCCAAGCGGTCCAAGCGGGATCTTTCACATTTAGTTGATCCGAACGGTTTGCTTATTGAGCTAGCCCGCTTCTCAGATGCTTCGGATTCCCCGCGCGACACTGTGGTCGCTGATCAGAATGGGTTCGTTGAGGTGAACGACCTATCAGAATCGGCAGATCATAGCGAACTCCTCCCATCCAAAGACATTTTGAGGACGCGTTTGGAAACCTGCCCGTCACTCGAGGAGGTCACGAGTTTGATAAATGCGATGGATATAAATCTTCAGCATGAGCCGGGCTACGGTCGCATAATATTCGATCACTACTTTTCGCGGTTTGCGCTGGGCGAATCAGACGCCCAGGAGCTGTCTCTGTTTCTGGATCATCGCATACTCAATACTCCAGGAGCCGGGAATTTCCCGGTTGTTGCAAAGTACATTGTTCAACCCGCGACAGACTTAAGAGAGCGCGCTGTATTGTTTGCGAGCATTCTCAGGGCTATCAGAGTCGGTGCGATAGTTCCATCTGAGCTTCTGCAGGTCATCGGGACCTTGCAAAAGTTGCCCGATGTGGTGGTCGCCACGACGAATTGGCCGACAGCCGAGACACAACTCAATGGCCCAAGCGGCGTGATGGAAGCATATCAGAAAATCTGCGATGTTCTCGAGTCCACAGTCCAGGGCGGTAAATACAAGAATTTGGACGAGGATACAGCCAATCTATGGCTTAAAATCATATGGGAGCGGAATGTACTTGCTGAGTTGAGGCTGGCACACAGGATTCTGGCTCGTGCTCGGCATCTTCGTTCCACCTGTGCCTTCTGGGGCCCACGGTTCATCATCCGCTGGCTTGAACTTCCGGACGAGCTCCGGGATGAGATCGATCCTTCCTACACAAATTTACTCTTCCACAGGTTTCATTTCAATGCAGTAGGTGCAACTATCATATCGGTTACAGAATATTTAGTTCTGGCTCAGAAGCAGCATCTGCTGCCCAGGTGGCATGACTGTCTGATTTCAATCCCCACGGTTCGAGACATCCCTAAGGCAGGGGCGTGGGTTGACGCACGATCGCAAATTCCAGCAACATCGAGTCATCCTGGGCTGTCAGTTCAACAACGTTTTCTTCTGCGCTTTTGGGTCTTCCGTGCTCTGAACTTGAGTCATGCAGCGGGTCCTACTCGGGATAAAAAGCCTTACATGATAGGGACAAGGCATCTTCTACATAATGCACCTGCACGGCCGATTGAGAAATGGGGGGCGCGAGTGCTCAGCCTCTACCAGGCTTACCGAACGAACTACAAGAAGAAAGACCTCGTGAGCAGTCTTTTAGATGATGCGCGTGAGTTGGGGCTGCCTGCCAACGGGCTCACAATCTTGGCTCTTTCATACCGGACCAGAAACGCCCCCAACAAAACGACTAGGGCGGCTCTGAAAGCTTTAGAGACGTCGGATGTCTCTTTCAACGATCTGTTTCGAGACAGTGAAACGCCGTACACTCTTCTCCTTCAGTTCGCACCCGCCTTTTCGAAGATAGCGCGGGAGATAGACATCGAATCACCGTCTTTCATGGAGCGTGCTCTAGAACTGGCCAGAACGGGGAACCGGTCAGAAGTCCAACTATTGTTTCGCATCTTCGACTGGCATGTTCCCCTCAAGATCGCACTGGCGAAATCATGGCAGCCTCGTCCCGATCCTTCCCAGCTTGCGCTTGTGGTCTATGAGTCTCGAGACAGGAGAAAACACCCCGACCCTCACGCTGCGCTCAATATGATAAATACTTTTGCTGTGGCTCTGTCATGCTCGCAGCATCTCACCCCGCGGCAATCCTATCGATTGATTTATTGGCTGTACGTCTACTTGATGAGGCATCAAGCACCTGTGCAACCGATCATTGTCCGCGCTATGTATCATGCTGGCGTCGTGCGCGCCCGACAAGAAATGAGGGGCATGTTCTGTGAGACGCAGTTCAAGTACATCATGCACAAGGTACAAGAGGTCGAGTCGCCGGAGGTTGTGAGAGCGCTGAGAAACCCGAATTTCGTGTGGAGGGACGAAGGAAGTGACTAGGTTACTGGGAACTAATATCCACCTTCGAGTTGGGTTTACATGAACTCGAGATATTATCCCGCATTACCAGAGACTTGTGGTTCAAGGCATGCTGGACCTTTGATGCTGTATCGCTTTGTTAAGATGTTCTACGTTCCCTACATGACTCATTATACCCTTGGTTGTACAGGATACCCTTTCAGACTCGTTTTCATAGCATAGATTTGGCAACATTTAACGGCTCACTGCAGCCTATTTTTATATCATCCATGAAAAGCTTTATTCGTGCGTGACTCTCGGTTACAGAATTAAAAGACATGATTCTGCGCCCCTCCCCAAAAAAGGAATTAGATAGCGCTTTCAACTCCACCACCTAGCCGACCAACACCCCGGCTGAGAGGGGTCCTGTCTAGATGTCCACCTCCATCAGGTTGGGGTCCCCGGAGGCCTCCTCGATGGTGACATACTTCCGCATATCCTCCTTGCTGATGACCTTCTGGTTGAGGTAGGCGGTGGTGCCGCGGGGGAAGCGGTAGTTGCGCTCCTTCTGACCGCGCTCGTTGGGCTTGATGTAGTTGCGCAGCAGCTGGGTGGGCTGGTCCTTCTCGATGACGCAGACGTCAACATTGCTCCCGGAGCCGAGATCGTTGAAGATACCGGCCTTGATGGCCTCGGCGCAGAGGGCGACGGCGCCGTCGCGGTCCAGCTGGGGCTTCCACATCGACTCGAACACGGACATGGCGGCCAGCGAGCCGGAGCCCATGGTCACGTACGGCAGCTTGTCCGTCGAGCCGTGCGCGTGCACCGTGAAGAGCCCGATGCCCGTGGGGTCCACGCCCGCCACCACCAGGTACGCCCCGATGTGGCCCTGGTACCGGAACAGGTGCTGCTTCAACATCGTCATGCAGGTGATCACCCGCGGCGGCCGGCCCGTCGACAGCGAGTGCAGCTCCACGTTCGAGCTGATCAGCGCGGTCGTGAACTCCGTGTCCGCCGCCGTACCCGCGCCCGCACACCAGATCTTGGGCGCGATGTAGTGTAGCTTCTCGCAGTTCTATTCCCCAGCAACCCGTTGTTAGCCTAATCAAAGTGTATTCGTTTGTTATTGTGATTTCGTGGTGGAATTGAAGGTGAGTTTCGATAGGGACGTGTGTAGGCGGCGAGGCTTTACCTTGTCTGCTACTATCGGTCCGCTGGTAGCTCTGGTATCTGCCGCTATCTGTAATCACCACACCGTAGACTTTAGCTTCGTGTCTGCCTATCCATCGGAGAGCTGAGCACATGTATCATGAGGGGAAAGACGGACCACAACACCATTGTCATATATACAACCCACAATCGTGGTACCTGTGCTGGTGGCCTTGGGGAGAGGCACGCCCTTGGCGTGAAGAGCCGCGTTACGGTTGTAGTTAGAGAAATCGAAGCCGGTCATGGTGACGGCGTGAAGATAAATGTGTTCAGTGTCGGAGACAAAGGCACGGTCGTCAGTATTGCAGGAGCTCGAAGATGGTAGAGAGTGTGAGGAGGAGGGTAGGCTGATGTATCAAGTAGAGAGAGGTTCAGTTCCGTTGCTTAAGCTTCAACTACGGCTACCGCTGGAGACGGACGGAGCTGGGAGTGACGAAGCTCCGGGCGCCTGATCTTGACCGCCTCAGGCATAAAGGCGGTGTGGCGCGCTTTCGCTCTCGAACCCTTGCAATTCCGCCCGCCGCTGTTTTTGTCTGGGAGGCCTGTGGAAACAGCACCTTTAATCCTTACTTTACTACTGTTCGTTTGTTTCCCACGCGGCGCTTCCCTGTCCTTCGCCCGTGTTATCTCTGACTTGAAACTGTACCCCCTTGTCTGGGACTTGAGGGTCTCCACCGATCTGTGGCACTTGTTTTCTTTCCATCTTTCACCGAGGGGAGGTGACCACGATTTTCGCGCGCACTTGGAAGCTCTTCAATCGGAGTCCTCCAACTCCAGCGCCGCTCCTTTTCAGCTTCACCGCAGAGTCCTTCCGCTACTCATGCTCCCAAGCGACTCTTACTAGGCGATAACCCGCGTGCTCTTTCGAACGAGTACAACCGATATAGAATGGCTTTCAACTTTGGAGCATCGAACCCCGCCGGGGGTAGTGCTCCCCCCGAGCTGGGGCCCGAGCTTCCGGAGGGTACTGCTGAGGTAGGTCCCCTTGCAATTGCTTCCTCATTCACATCAGTACTCTTCTAACTTCTGCTATGCTGTCTCCAGGACGTCGGCTTCAAAGGCGTCGAGGGCGATTGCAACGTCCAGATTCTACCCACCCCATGGCCCGAAAACGCTCTCCCAGCCCCTACATGTTCGCTCCTGGCCGTTGCGCCGACCAAAGGCATAATTGTTGCTGCTGGACCCAACGTCCTCTCCGTCGCCTCTTCGGAATCCATCAGAGCCGCCATATCCGCACCCACCGAGGGCAAAGTCAAAACCAAGCCTTTCCAGCCGCAAGCGACCATCCCCCTCCCTGCACGTCCCACACATGTCACCTTTGCCTCAAACGATACCGCCCTTCTGCTGGCCACGGAGAATGGCGCGCAACTGTCAGTATTTGACACCTCGAGCCTGACGTCGGGGAATGCACAGCCGGCACTGTCGATTCCTACCAATGGAACCACTTTTCGCACCATTGCGGCCAACCCGGCGCCGGAATTCTCGTCCCTTGTTGCGCTGGTGACGACGGGCGGTGATCTTCTGGTAGCGGACTTGAAAGCGGGCAACTTTGTCTCGGGCCCGAATGGTCAAGTGCTGAAGAGCGGAGTCAGCTCGGTCTGTTGGAGTAACAAGGGTAAACAGCTTGTGGCCGGCCTTGCAGACTGCACGGGCTTCCAGATGGCCCCGGATGGCACGCAAAAGGATGTGATCCCGCGCCCGCCTGATCTTGAGGGTGATTGTCACGGTATGTGGTACTCTTGAGCAGTAAACTTTTGTTGTCTGTCTAATCACGTACAGTTTCGTCCATTGCTTGGTTGGAGAATGATATCTTCCTTGTGGTATACACGCCAAACGCACTAGAGGATGACATGGGCCAGAATCCTCCTTCGTCATACTATATCATCACACGACGGAAACAAGCGCCTTTCTTGATTCAGAAATTGCCTGAGTTGTGCATGCCCTTTGGGGTCAAGCGCACCCCGGCCTTTCAGTTCATTGGACGCTTGCGTGACTACAAGCCTCACTTGAAGGATGTCCTCATTGTGTCTTCAACGGCATCCACCGATGTGGGCCTCATCACCAGAGCGGACCAGCCATTGGTTAAGATGGATATGGACACCACTGGACTCTTTGTCACAACTGAAGTGTCAGATGATACAAAAAGAGCAACTGTGCCACTCAAGGAATCTACTGATGAAACTACAGTTATCGGGTTCGGTATTGATCTCTCTAGCAAGGAAGTTGTTGTTGCCCCCATCCCAGGCGAAGACATCGCTGAGAGCTCCACTCCACTGCCGAATGTGTTGCTACTCAACAACGAGGGTATTCTTTGCTCTTGGTGGTTCTTATATTCGGATGCGATTCGACAGAAGGTCCTTTACCAGGGTATGGCGGATCAGACGCAGGCGCCAGCTCAGCCAACGTCGCAAGCTTCTCAGCCTCAAGCTTCACTCTTTGGACAATCAGGTTTTGGTGGCTCAACGGCTCTGGGATCATCTGCGTTTGGCAGTTCCACTGCCCCGGGTTTCGGGAGCCCATCTGCTCAAGCCGCTCCTCAACAGTCCTCTTTTGGTGCGCCATCTTTCGCATCACCGTCACAGCCTGGGCCCTCATTTGGCACGAACAGCATGCTGGGAGGTAATAAGCCCCAGGGTGGTCTCGCCGCTTTGGCAAAGAACGAGCCTGGGTTTGGGTCATCTGGCTTCGCCTCTCTGGGAGGAGGGTCTGGATCCTTCGGTCAACCATCGACGCCTGGAAAGGGACTCAGCTCTCTTGGGTTTGCACAGTCAGGTTCCGGCTCCGGAGGTGGCTTCGGAGCATTTGCCAACAAAGCTGGCACAGGTGGGTTCGGTGCTTTCGCGTCGGCAAAGCCAGCAGGCGGATCGCCATTTGCGCAAACCTCCACTACGCAAACGTCCACTGAAAGTCCGTTCGCTAAGATATCCGGCACATCGACCTTTGGCACATCTCCCTTTGGCGCACAAAGTAGCACAGAGTCCGTGTTCGCCGCTGAGAAGACGATCGGGTCGACAGGTACTTTCGGGCAGAGCTCTAGTCGTTTCGTGCTTGGATCAACATTCAAGCCGGATGGTAGTGCTGCCAATGATCTTCCGAAGCCAGATAAGCCTTCTGGATTGTTCGGCTTCAGTGAGTCAATGGATGACATGATGACGTCCAGCAACAAGACCAGCCCGTCAACTGAGGAGATGGACGACATGGAGGACGAGAGCGCCACTCCGCAACAGAAATCCGAGCCCAAGGAGGCGACCCCATCCTTGTTCGGTGCACCCTCGGCGACCCCAACTTCCACACCGAAATCGTTGTTTGACGCACCGTTGACAGCTACGAATTCCGCACCGAAAGCGTTGTTTGGTGCACCCTCGGCGGCCCCAAATTCCGCACCGAAAGCGTTGTTTGGTGCACCTTCGTCGACAACAAATTCTGCACCCACATCGACCTTTGGTTCTCAGAAGCCGGTCTTGAATCCCTTCGGTCAACAAGCTAGCAAGCCTGGATTCTCGCTGTTTGGTAATACAACTCCTGCCAAGTCACCGTTAGCTTCCTTCTCAACGCCCGCGGACAGCACCACTCCATCAAAAGAGGACGATGCCCGTACGCCTAGCGCTACACCCCAGGGCGCACCCTTACCACCAGACCCTGTTAGCAAGGCATCATACGGGCCCGGTGATACGTCTGCCTCGTCGAACGTCTCCAAGAGTTCTGTCGATGACGCGCCTCTACCACCAGATTTCACCTCAAACAAACCCGCTGCTAAGGGACCTGCAGTAGACGCACCTTTGCCACCAGACTTCTCGACTTTCAAGAATGGAAAGAAGACAGACGATAAAGAAGAGGCAGAACCCGAAGAGGCTCCATTGCCTCCGGACTTTAGCATTTCTAAGCCACGTAAAGGATCTGAGGACGTTGCACCAGTCCCAGACGAATCTGATGGTGACGACTACGAAAGCGAGGAAGACGTCTCTGAAGAAGGCGAGAGCGAGGAGGGGGAAGAGTCAGACTTTGCTGACAGCGGAGAGGATATCACGCACGATATCAGCCAGTCTGAGTCCAATGAGCCAAGTCCTAAGGCATTCCCCGGACATTTCAAGCCCGGCGCGAACCTCGCAGGCGGCCTGTTCTCCCCTGCTTCCAAGCCTGCCCCAGCACCTCAACCACAACCTTCAAGGTCATTGTTCGGTGACCGGGGCAATCCGACATTCCCTGCGCTTCAGAACCGAGAGCTTCCTAGATCGCCCAGTCCAGTACGAGGAGCCGCGCCAAGGAGCCTCTTCAAGGGCGACGGGAAGAAATCTTTCGGTGTTACTCAAAGTCCGGGCAGCGCTCTCACTGCAAGGAAAGCCTCTCTTTCTGAACATCATAGACGCGAGAGCCAACTGAAGCCGAAGCCTTCTCGGAGGGAACCCTCGCAACAGGAGATTCGCGCAAGACAGTTGGAAGAGGAGGCACAAGCTCTTTCCGACGACGATGAGGATGAGAGACTCCGTGCGGATCTTGCACTACCTCTGGAACCTGTTCCTACACTCGATCCTTTCTTGCCTCACCAAGACTATGCTGGCGAGACGAGTAAACCTGGTATTCCTGGCCAAATTGAACGGCTGTACCGTGATATCAACTCTATGGTGGATACCTTGGGCATTAATGTTCGTTCGTTGTCTTCTTTCCTTCTCTATCAAAAGACGTCCAAAGATCCTCAGTGGGTCGACACGCTCAAGGAGGACAATGCCTCCGACATCCTGGACAAAGAATTGGTTCTGTCTGAGATTGAGAAATTTGATGACGCTGTCGTCATGCTTGCTGCCTCTCTTGAACAGCAGCGCGTGCAGGGTGTGGAAGAGAAGCTCGAGAGTTGTCGGGAGCTTTTGAGTAAAGACATTATCACTCTTCGGGGTCAATGTGCCAGTATCCGCAAGACTCTCGATGCTCACACCGACACAACCACAATGCACTTCGCACCTCTTTCCGCAGAGCACGCCAACCTGCAGCAAGACCTGCGTTCGGCATCCACCGAGATTCAGGCGAAGCTAGCTGATTTGGAATCTGCCGTGACTCTTCTCCGCGCGAAGATTGCCGACGTTCCCCCTCCTGGTGGCTCTCGGCAGGCGACAAGACGTCCCACAGTTGAGGCTGTCACCACTACCATCCAAAAGATGATGGAGATGGCCGAGACCAAGCGCACCGATATCGATGTCCTGGAGGCTCAGCTCAAGAGACTAGGCATTGACACAACCGCCCCTGCGGCCAGCCGGGAAGGGTCCCCATTCGCGACGCCGAGGAAGAGCACCGGCCGATTCCCCACTACGCCCGGATCCCGTGGCTCAGTTGACGGGCCATATCATACTCCCGATTCGGCTAGCCGAGCCATCAGCTTCCGATCCAGCATCAACGGGTCAGCTCGGGCTAGTCGACTCCGCAATATGGAGGCAGTCCAGGACCTGGTCAGCTCAGAGGAAACGGCGCAATGGAAGGCCAAGGTGCAACGCAAACAGCAGATTGTCGAGAGTCTGCGGAGCGCCATTGGGGCAAAGAAGTCTCGAGTCCGGACGGTGAATGATTTGTAAAACTAGTGTTTTTGTTTCGCTTTCTTGTGTCTTGGGACAATTCTGCTGATGACTACTTACTATGAAAGTCATGTCGGAGAAAAACAGCGGGTCTTTTCTGGCGGGGTTTGTCTTTTCTTTTGTTTTTGTTGTTGGTCTACACAGGCAAATGTGAATGTTAGGTAGCGCGTCCCATCTGTCTCCACTGTACATAGGTCTCGATTGTAATGCTTGCACGTGCTTGTACGAGAATGCTTCCACTTAGATGTTCATGGTTGTTTTGGATAAAGTAATCAGGCAGGCTGCCCAGGTTGGTTTACGGCGTGCTGGGGATGGGAATGTGGATAATCTAGAATGGTCTGATAGTGGAGAACCTGAGGCATCAAGTTTCCATTGTCCGTCAGTCCCCACTGACATCATCCCGCCCAAAGTTGGGGTGACCTCAATTTGGAACACCATCGATAAGCCTTTAGTCTACCACTCTCCGCAGTATTTATGATACTCGTCTCCTCCCTGTCAACAGGCCACCATCCAGCTTGCTATACAGGCACGAACCTCTACATCACCCCCTTGATCATCTGATAGCTGCGCGCACAATATGTCGGAACAAAGCGTGACGGAGTTCATCTACTTCCACGTCAAGGACAGCGTCCGACCCGAAGACCCCGCCCACAGCGACGAGGGCGCCGCCCTCCTGCAGGTCTTCCAGAACACCAAGCACCAGAACGGGTACAAGGGGTCCGTCTGGGGTCGGGCCGTCGAGGACGAGAGTTTGATCGTTTGGGCGATTGGTTAGTTTTAGTTCACGCCCTGTGTCCCCGACCAAGCCAACCAACCTTAGTGCCGTGGCTACAGCACTGCACACCCACCTGCCCACCTCCCCTCCCTCCACCCACCCACCTCATCCTACCAATACACTAACACCCACCAGACTGGACAGACGCCCACACCGGCGCAAACCCAACCACCACGCTGCACCCCTTCCTACCAGAGGACAACCCCGAAATCACCACCATCTTCGCCACCCTCACCCCTGCCACTTCCCCGTCTCCCTCTGGCGATGCCAACAACAACAAAAGCCCAACCACCACAGAAACCCTGCGCAGCAACCCGGTCACCGAACTCTGGACCCCCGCCTTCCCCACCTCCCTCACGCCCGACGAAGTCAACGCCGTGCACGCCGACCTGATCGGCCTGCGCGCCGCCGTCACCGAGCACCTCCCAGACGGCAAGCGGGCGGTGTCCTTTGCGCTGGGCCAGGTGGAGCGGCCGGGGACGATGACGCACGAGCAGAGCGAGACGGGCGAGGCGTTTGTGGTAGTCGTCGCGGCTGGGTGGGCGAGCGTCGAGGTGCATCTGGCTGGCAAGGAGACGGAGGCGTTCCAGGATGCGATTGGGAAGGTTAGGGGACGGTTGTTGGCGCCGGTGCGGGGGTTGGGCGGGTTGAAACATTTTGGGTTTAGAGGGGTGTGATCGAAGCCAAGTGTCTGAGGGTCCGAGGTTTTGGGAGAAGAGGGGCTTTGGGGGTGAAATGGTTCCATGAATGGAGATCGGTAGGTTAGCAGGGTACAGAATAGGTAATCACGAGGGTTTATTGGTTTGTGTTGGGGTTTGTTTCTAAGGATTGTATGGTTGGTATGGTTGGGAGTGATGGTGATGATGATAACGACGTTGCCAGAAGATTAAAATCAGAATTCAAGCTGCTTCCTTTTTCTTTTGGTCACACAACAATAAGTACAATACAAGCAGCCACGGGAGTGGGATAATAAAGGAAACCCGGAATGAAGACACAGAAAAAGCCCATTAGTTTGTGAAATGAGTAGCAAAAGACCGGACGGACGGGATGGTTTTTAGTGGTCAAGTCAGAAAAGGAAGAAAAAGAAGAACCCCCAGAGTGTGTAGAAAATAAACAAAGGTGAGCTTCATACTACCCGTTTAGATACGATGCTTTTCGCTCTCTGGATTTGCCGTGGCTGGTTAGTGGATGAGATATCAGATGAAATCACGAAGCAAACTAACCGAGTCGGGAGTAGAGCATGTACAGCGCCATCTGGTTGCACTCCTGAGTACCCGTGATAGTGACCAGGCGCTCGTTGCTGTTCTCTTGCGGTTCGTTGATCTTAATCACACTGCCACTCAGGTGTCGGATCTCGTTAATCTTGGCTCCGCCCTTGCCGATGATCGCGCCCACCATGTCGTTGGGGATGTAGATCTGTTGAGTCAGTGGCTGACCAGGCATGACGCCGCCGGCAGGGGCAACCGGGGCAGGGCCGCCGGCGCCGCCAGCACGGGGCTGCGCAGCCTGCGGACCGCCGTAGGCCGCGGGCTGGTGCGGGCCGGCGCCGGAGTACGGGGTGTGGGGAGTCGCGCCGTAGGGCATGTTGGGCTGGGCGACAGGAGTGGGTGCAGCTTGGCCGTGGAGGTAGGGGACGCCGTAGCTGCCGGCCGCGCCGCGGTTGGGGTGAGGGTGGTGGCGCTTGAACGTGTCGGGGTGACCGTATTGGCCGCCAGCGGGTTGAGGCACATAGGGGACAACCTGCATCCCTCCAGGCACGGCTCCAGCGGGCCCACCACTGCGAGTAGCGTAAGCAGAGGCTGCCGGTCCGCCGAAGCGTTCAGTCAGCTGCTCAACCAGAGTCACGGCAACGTAATAGGTAGCGATGTGCACAGCGTCCGCTACACCAAGGATTACAAGGGACCGCTCGGTCGACAGGGGAAGGCAGGCATCCGAAGCGTTAAGACGTGCGCCCGAAGCCTCCTGGATCTCGCGGATACGGCTACCACCCTTGCCAATGATCGAGCCAATGAGGATATGAGGGATTAGCAAACGCAAGGGGTACGTCTTGGATTGGGCAGTTGAAGGGGCATCAAGGGGCTCGTTGTTCAAGGTACGGATGATCAAACCGAATGCCTAGCGTCAAAGTTAGCATCTTTGAACCAACGGCCAACTCATGGGGTATACAATGTCCACCAACCTTAGCAGCAGCATCCTGGGGGCCGCTGACAGTCAAGATACGCTCCACTGCACCCCGGGAGTAATCGCTGACAGTGCACTTGGCTCCCGACAGACGACGGATTTGGGATACATTCTCACCACCTTTACCGATGACGGTCGCAGCCTCCTGGCTGGAGATTACAGCACGGATGTGAATCCAGCTAGACTCGTCCTGAGGGCGCTGCTCAGACTGGGCAGTTGCCGACTCTCCGTGAGAGGCAGTCGACTGGATAGGCTGCGTCTCCGAAGAAGCCCCCTTGGCGTTCGGAGCATCAGGAACCACGGTGTCTCCTTGACCATCAGCGCTGGCGCTGGCAGCCGCTGCAGCGTCCGTCTTCACCTCGGTATACGCCTCAGCCTCCTCGCCCTTTACTACTTTGTCCAAAGCCGGACGCTTGGCCTCGGGCTGATCATTGGGACCCGACGGCGAGGAAGGGTCTTCCAAGGGACGCTTGGTCGATTGCAACGCGGATGGAGAGGCAGACATGATTTCTGTATGCCAAAGCTTTGCAGTCTTGCTTCACTTACACAGGAAGTCGAAGTGTCAAGAATAGCTCTTCTTTTTTTCTTTTGTTTTCTGTCTTCTGCTTTATGTGATCGACTATGTACACCAGGAGTTCCCAATAAAACTTGCTGGTGCTGGCGATCGGGTGAAGAGGGAATTCTGGTGCTTGGGATGACTGGGAGGACTGGTGTGGATATGGCGGGCAAGTGAGGTTGGAAAGGAGAGGTCGACGGAGGAAAGTGTGGAAGGATGCTGGATTGTCACGGGCCTTGGTTTGGAGCAGAGAAGCTTCACCAGAGCGAGGTAGTGGCAAGGTAGAGGAAGTAAGGAAAAGAAACCAATCGAATCGGGCACGATGGAACGAAGCAAGAGGTGTTGGATGCTGGACGGAGACGAAGGTGTGTTCAGGGTCCGGGCGATTTCAGATGCTGAGGGTGGATGACGGTGGGGGAGGGAAAGGGAAGAAATGAAAGCAAGATTGAAGCCTGAAACAATTCCCAAAGTCCCAATTTTCTCCTTGTTTTCCTGCCAGAAAACGCGACCTGCTCAGATGCACAGGCTGTATGTACGTACAGCACGTCGGTTACCCAATCACCTGCCGGGGGGGAGTGTCTATCGCAGGAGGATGGACGGGGAAAAGACTCGAAAAGCTGAGGCAGTCGAAAATAGCCGGTCAAAACTCGCGGTTGTAGATAAAGATACGGATGTGAAAGGGATGTGATAAGGGGAAGTCGATGGGCGAAGTGGGAACGGGGGGTTTGATGTCGCGGTGAAGAGATGAGGTTGCGGGAGTTGGTGAGGCGAGCTGTTGGCACGAGGCACGCTAGTCCATTTGAAGTCAAGCCGCCCATCTTCTGCTGTCACGTGTTAAGCCATCAACAACTACTGCTATCCTATTGTATATCAAGCGCATTGACAGGTCACAATCCTTCACACACTGCCAGATTACAAATTCAGTGACTGCAGTTGAGCTCTACATCGCTTCGGAAATATAATAGCGAAGGACGTCAAATCTATCCCAACCTATACTGTCATCAGTCATCACCCATCGCCATGGACATCCCCCAGGAAAGAGTCGATAAAATCCAGCGCTTCGCAGAGAAGCGCCAACAAACAGAAGAGAGCCATGCCAGACAGCCGCTGAGCCCAGCCAACATCCAGGCCTACAACAAGAGACTGGATGACACTCTCAGAGAGCTACAAGAACAAGTAAAGCGTCAAGAAGATGAATTGCGCAAGGTGCGTATCATGACAATACATACAGAGACCAGCAGACACCATCAGCTAACACGCGGCCCCAGCTACGCGAGATCAACTCAATCGATCTCTCCAGAATCGGTACCAGCACCTGGGCCCGAGTGTCTCAGGTGCGCCGGGCTAAAAAAGCGTATGACTCCCTCCTCAAATCGGAGACAGAGTTTCCACCGCTTGGTTCTCCGTTGCCGTCGTTGCTGGCCGTCGAGGAGACATCCCGTCTGGTGAAGGAGACTAAGATCGCCGCCTCGGAAACGGGCAAGAATCTCTCCAACACGCGTCAGCGGTCGAAGACAGAGGAGGCGAACCTGCGCGATGCGCAAGCCATCCAAGCTGGTCTGCAGCGACGGATTCAAACTGTAGTGAGTCAAAACGCGACGAGGGAAAAGAAGGCTAGCGCTCAACTAGCACGGGAGCTTGTTGAGCAGAAGCAACGGGAAAACGACGAGTATGACATGGCAGCAGAAGAGACAAAGACAAAACTTTACGAATTTATTGATCGGTCTCTTGCGTCGATGCTTGCAGCAGAATCCCTCGGCGGACCGACTGTAGGCGATGCACAAGATGTCTCAGACGCTACATTGGAACTGGGCTATACCAGCCATGGCAAGCCGAAGAAACCGAAGGTACAGGCCGAAACAACTGAGTCAGGTACCAGCCAACGACTCATCGATGAGATTCTACCTCGACAGAACGAGCAAGGAAGGACCTCCAATCGAAGGGAGGCGGCGGCGGTCGAGATGCGCAATCTTCTTGATGAGTTGCTGGAAGCGAGCCCCTCGTATGTGAACGTTCGAGAATCCGCAGCTTCCAGATTTTTAGTACGAGCCAAAGTGGCACAGTTGCACCCGCGCGATGCGAGAAGGTTGAGATTAATTGATTTTGGGCGCACACTATAATACCATCTAGCTGTTCATTCCCAGCAACGTCGGTACTATCATGCAGGCTCTATATAGCGCTATAACATAGACGGGCCATATGCGAAGGGCCATGTGCGCCTTTCACACTATCCTTATCAATACTTATGAGACATCCAAATATAACGCCTATACATGCAATAGTCGCAATGAAACCACAGTCGTAAACGCTGATATATCGTAAACATGTCATTAATCACTATATCTCAGATGCACGCAAAGAGGTATCTCAGACAGGCATCATCCCAATCCGACTCGTCGTTGACTTCGGCTTGGCAGGTTTTCGGGCTGAGGTTGAAGAGGGGCGGTTGTCAGCGCGGTCATTGGATTTCCTCCGAGCCCCTGCTGGTTTCGGTTTCGCTTTTGCTCCTGTGTTATAGCGACGTGGACGTTTGCTTGTCTGGCGTTTTCGGGGCTTGCCTTTGCCTGACCCTTCGCCACTGTTTCGAGATTCTTCAGTAGCATTCGGCCCTTGCTGCGACGAAAAAAACCTGCTGGAAACAGCGCTCTCATTCATATCAAAGTTGGGCGCGTGGTCTGCCAGAAACCCCCCATCACTAAACTCATCCTCATCCTCACTGCTGTTGAGGTAGATAACATTGTGATGGTTAGGATCGGGTACGACGCCATCGGCATCATCACGCTCTTTTCTTAATTCTTCATAGCGACGCTGCGTGTCCCTAACAAGTTTAAGCAGCTGAGAACCGTAACGGATGACTTTATCAGGATCAATGCCCGGGATTGCAGCAAGTTCCGAAAGATCTAATCATCGATCAGCGCCAACCACAGTCATAATATGAGTAATCTTACCTCTAGGAAAGACGATGACCATCTCGCGCAAGATGGTATCAGTAAACGGCTGGTTGCGAAGGCCTTTCTGAAGAACCAACTTTTCATTTTGTCAGCGGTTGCCCTGGATTTTGGTCTTTAGAATGTACGGAGTCTTACCTCTTGGCAGTAATTCTTCGCATAGACCATGAAGTCCTCAGCTACCGCCTTGTGAAGAGGATCAAGCTGATCGAAACGGCGGTCTTGAGTGATAGGTGGGCCGGGAG